TTTGGCTCCGTTAGGTCATCAGCATGTCAAGGGACACAGCGGGTGCCTTGGCAACGAGCTTGCGGATGCCTTTTCAAAGTGGATACGCTGTGTTCCTGATGATCCCTGGCAACGTTGTATGCCTCAGTGGGTTTCCAGATTTGCGTCCCACAAGCTGCGCCAATGGGCCTGGACGCTACGATGCCGCACACCCGACATGTTGTCTTGCTATGCTTTTGAATCGGAGGCGCAGCGCCTTCAGTCGTTACAGCAACGACCCAAAGTCGCGCCAATGCAAGGCGTCACCTCCCGGACGCTTCCAGCCGCTGACATACGCTGTGAGATCCGGGCGGTGTCTTTTAACGTCCTAACTATGAAGGACAGCCGTCCAGGTGATCTAACAGGCTCACAGCCCGGTGCCCAGCCCGACGTGGGCTTCCGCATGTTCGGTCGCAAACATGTGCTTCAGCAGTCCCTTTCCGACTTCCGGCCGAACATTGTCGGATTTCAAGAAACACGTCTACAGGATGATGTTACACAGCACGATGCCGAATATCTGATTTATCAGTCCAAAGCCACTTCTCAAGGAGTAGGTGGCTGTGCCCTTTGGCTGTCTCGCAGCGTTCCTTACGCTACTCAAGGCTCAGAGAAGCTTTTCTTTCAGCACTCGCATGTCACTGTGGCCAGCTTTTCCCCGCGCCACCTTATTGTGAATGTGACCGCGCCACGGTTACATCTCATGATTGCTGTTTTGCATGCCCCCTCCCTTACCAAGCATCCGTATGAGGAGGTGTCTTCCTTTTGGGATCAAAGCCTTCGTGTTCTGTCCAGGAGGCCGCCCGGCACAGATTTCCTTGTTTTGGTCGATGCCAACTCCCGCTTGGGTAGTGTTACATCCGACCATGTGGGTGACCATCATGGGGAGGACGAGCTAGAAGCTGGCTCCCTCTTCCACTCTTTTGTTACCCAACTGGACGGATACGTCCCGGCCACCTTCTCGGAGCACCACCAAGGGCCCTCGACCACTTGGCGATCAGCCCTAGGCGGTAGCCGCCGTATTGACTATATTGTTCCTCCCAGAGCATGGTCCGACTGTGGCCCATCCACTACAGTTCTGCAGAATTTTGAGGCCCCCCAGCTGCGGGAGGATCACAAGCCCACTGCCCTTCTGTGTTCCTTTGGGTACAAAGGGAAGCCCACTTGCTACACTGACAATCGCCGCAGAGCTGTCCGCCCACAATACCCTGCAACCCCAGACGGGACAAAACAAATCTCTGCAGCCTTTTCAAAAATTCCATGTGTGCCCTGGCAGTGTGACGTGGATGTTCACTGCCAGACCCTTTCCCATTCTTGGTGCACAGCTGGTGCTGCTTTGACCGAGGCCACTACTGTCCAGCCCCGCGCGCCATATGTACCACAGGAGGCTCTGCCACTCATTTGGCGGCGTCGCGCTTTGAGCGCATACCTGCGCCAGGAGGAGCTTGAGATCTCCCGACGATGCCTCCTTATTGGGTTTGCTGCTTTTCGTCTGGCTCGGCAAGGCGGTGCATTTTCAAACCAGGCACGCGCCACTGCGGACCGATGGATTGTGGCAGTGGACCACAGCATAGCCGTTGCATGGGCTTACTTCCGGGATCATGGCCTGCAACTACATAGGCTTGTTTCTCATGGCCGCCGCCAGTATCTACGGGGCTTGGTCACTGCAGCCTCCACCATTGATACCCGTAATCCCAAGGAGCTCTATGCTGCCATTCGAAAGGCTTTCCCAGCAGCCAGATCCTCCAAGCGATCCAGTGCCTGCCCACTCCCTGCACTGCAAATGCCCTCAGGAGAAATGGCGGTCACTGCACAGGACAGGGCGGCGTGTTGGCGATTGAAGTCACACCAGAGGAGTACGTGCGCGCCACCGCGACAAGTCTCCCACCCTGTGAGGACGTTGTGTTTGACATGTCCATCCTGCCCAATCTCCTACAAACCGAGAGCACCATACTCTCGTTGCGCAACGGGAAAGCCTGTGGACCGGACGGGGTCACAGCGGAGTTGTTAAAGCTTCGCCCCACCGCATCTGCCCGCGACCTCCTACCCCTGATGCTTAAGTCTACCCTCTCCGTCCGGGAGCCAGTGGCATGGAGAGGAGGAGACCTAGTGCTCATAGCGAAGCGGGCAGGGGCAGCGCTGGCCTGCTCCCATTACCGTTCCGTACTTATGGCAAAAACATCGCTGGCAAAGTCTACCATAGGGGACTGAGATCACACATCACTCCGCTTCTGTCCGAGCACCAGCCCCCCTTGATGGCCGGAGCCACCCCCGGGGCTGGCATCGAGATCCCTGCCCTTGCCATCAAAAGCTTCCAGTTGCTTCGATGCGCACGCGTCGGCCGTGGGCCGTCATATTTCTTGATCTGCAAACTGCATACTATGCAGTTCTTCGCCAAACCATAGCTGCCAATGTGGAGTCCGATGCTTCTCTGCTCAATCTCCTGCACCGACTCGGGCTTCCGCCCCACGCTTTGGCGGAGCTTCGCGACAAGCTCCACCTCCTTGCTGAGCTACCTGCCATCGGAGCTTCGGATCACCTTCACTCCCTCATCCGAGACCTTTTCACTGGAACTTGGTTTCGTGTTATTGGCGATGCAATCCTCACACTTACCAAGCGAGGATCCCGTCCTGGGGACCCACTAGCTGATGCGCTGTTTGCAGTGACACTTTCAGCCTACCTGAAGTCCGTGCAAGCTGCCCTTGATGCTGAGGGTCTTCTTCCAGAGCTGCCGTCTTGTGACCGTCGTCCACCCTGGGCAGAGTTGGAAGGTCACTCCACCCTCGGTAGCCCTTCTTGGGCGGATGACTTCGCTCTCCCCCAAACGGGCGACTGCCCGGTAGAGCTAGTCGACAGAGTTGCTCGGAGCACTGAAATCGTCGTTGCTCATGGCAGGGCCTTGGGTATGACGATTAAGTTCGGGGTTGACAAGACAGCTGCCCTCCTCTGCGCTTCGGTTGACCGGCACTTGCCCCGATTCCAAGTCGATGAGACCGGCGGTCCCTTGTTAGTCATCCAGGACCCTCTTGGTGACGGACAGGCCCTCCTGCCTATTGTGTCTTCCTATCGCCACCTTGGGGGCATTGTTGTTTCGAACTGTGCGGCCGAGCCCGACCTTCACTTTCGTTACTCTCGAGCCGCTGGTCTGGCGCGCTCGCTTCGACGACGACTGTTTTCATCACAGGAGTTCGACCTTACCACTAGGCGCACTCTTTTGCGTGCATTAGTCGTCTCCAAGTTTGTACACACCAGCGCCTCTTTGGTCTTGCGCACCAACATTAGTAACCGTCTGTGGGAGCGGTACTATGTGGCGCTCTGGCGGAGTCTTCTTCGCCGTACCTCCGCTGACAAGCAGGAACACTCCCTCGAGGTCCTACGAGTTGCCCGGACTGTGTCGCCCCCTCTTGCCCTTGCCACAGCCCGTGCTCAATTCCTGGTTCGACTTTTCCGGAAAGGGCCCAAGGCGCTTAGAGTTTTTCTCTATGACCATTGTTCTACTCATGCTGCGTCTTCCTGGCTTGGACAGCTGGATGCCGACGTTCGGTATGTTGGTCTCTTCGTGCCTGCTGTGCTTGGACTTTTGCGGCCACAGCATTTAGTTGCTGATTTGTTGGACGCAGTCCATGAGCAACCCACGTGGTGGCTCCGGCAAGTGGTTGCGGCTGAGAAAGCTTTTGCTCTCGACCTTGGTGTGTGGCGGACACAAAAGCTCTGTACAAGGCCTGCTAACGGCCCTGACGTGTTGCGGCCCTTTACTTGTGACACGTGTGGTGCCGGTTTTCGACTTCGCAAGCATCTTCATGCACATATGGCAAGGTCGCACCGGCAGTATGCACCTGCGCGTCACTTCGCCATTTCGGAGTCTTGCATCTCATGTCTAAAGTGGTTTCGCACCGTTGAACAAGTACAGATGCATCTGCGGCATGCTCCTTCCTGTCTTCGCCGTGCTTGTCGCCTCATCCCTCCGCTACCAATTGAGGATGTTCGGCGACTTGAGGCGCCGACCCGCCAGCGCCAAAAGAAGGTTGCCTCAGGACATTGGGAGTCCTTCCAGGCCCTTCCAGGCCCTCGTCCGGCTCCCTTGACTTTCGGGCCTCGAATTCCCACAGCAGACGAGCGCCGCCCTGCCAACTTCGACACTGAAGAAGTCGACCTAGCCTCCTTGCGGATTGGCTTTGTCCCCCGCGAGTCTGATGTCGCCTGGGTCGAGAACCATCTCGCAGCTGCCAGCGTCGAAGGTGCCAGGGAAAAAACGTGCCGCTTTTGGCTCCGAAAGCCTTCTTTGTCTCACCTGAATTTGTAGCATGACATTTTTGGGACGCGCCGTAATAACGGCACTCTAGTCCGCAGAAGAAGAAGAAGTCCCCTGCCCTTCCAAGTACAAGGGTTGTACAAAGGTTATGGGCAATGGGTGACAGAAGTTTTCGGAGTGCAGTCGTTGGTAGGGTTTATATAGGTTTCCAAGCCCATGCTAGAAAAATGGTGGACTGCTTAGAACCCTTGCAGTCATGGTTCGGTATCTGGTCTATTGCAAAATCATACAGCTGCCAAGCCATGAACGCTGAAGCTTCCCGAAACCCTGAACCCCTAAACCCGAGACCTTAAACCCTAAAGCCTAGTCCCGAAAGCCTAAACGCTTAAACCCTATAAGCCTTAACCCTACCTTCAGCCCAGGACTCCGGAACCCGACAGCCACGTACCTAGTAGTAAGAGGCCTGAACCAGGACCCTCCTTGTACCCTCAAATCGGGGTATATGGTCCCAAATAAGGGGCATTTAGGGTCTAATGGAGGGTAGATGAAGGGTCTAGGAAGAATTACTTATACTATTTTGGGGGTTCCTTATTTTAGTATAATGAGCTCCAAAACTCTTTTTCACATTATTGAGGCCCTTATATCATAGAATCCTCATAGTAACCCTTATAGACCCCCTTAAAGAAACCCTAAACCGTAAACCCCATTCTAATATTTAAGGCCCCTATGTTAGGTGACGCACTTGAAGTTGAAGCCGCCGCCACACACCGGTGTGGGCCGGGAAGAGGAGACGAGGGATCCGAAAATAACATAAGCATAAGCATTTTACAAGGATATCTAGGGTGTAGTACAGGGGCTTAGATGTTGACTATTATTCTTCCTTTCGGTTCTTGTTATCTTTATACTAAGATGCACTAATATGCCCAAAACTCTATTCTTATTACTAAGGCCCTTATCTTAGAGCTTGCGGCGCTGGGCGGGGCTTGGGTTGCAGGAGTCTGTTGACAGTTTCTTACTCAAGGGCTTGGTCCAACCAACACGAGGCCGCAAAGCCTGACCTACTTAAAGGATCATGGGACTTATTAACTAGGGTTATAATTAGGGCAACTATACTTATACCTACTTATAAGCCCAATTTATGGTACTTATAACCTTACTTACTAAGTCCCATGATCCTCCAAGTACGTTCTCTTAACCCCAAGCCAGAGCGCCTTTTACGCACATCCCACCAATCAGACTTGGTGTTCCTTGAGAGTTTGGGGTTTGCGGTAGGGTTTAGGGTACAAGGGTTTAGGCACTGCTTGAGTCGAAAAGGGCATAGAACAGGAGGTTATGGAGATTCCCCACCATCTGTGCTGATCCACAACCACCGCCGCCTGCCACAGCAGCACAGCTGGGTGGGGTAATCCCAAAATAACAGTCCGAAGAGCAGTATCCGTAATCCCACCCAGCTTTGCCATTCTTCCTCAAGCCCCGAACCTTGGAGCGCCGAAAGCTTTAAAGCTGACGCGGAGATAAGTCCGTAAGAGCTTCTCCTGAAGCCGTCGACCTAACCCAAAGCCCTCGTCCTCACTCCCCTTGAGTTCCCTATATCCGAAGCCCGAAACTCTGAAATCTTATTTCTTTTCCCTGGGCTACCTATACCAAGTTTCCTTATGTAGGGTGATGCTGAGCTTTGCTCCTTTTGTCCAACTGCGAACCGAGAGAACTCACCTGGCTCGTCCGAGTTGTGCGAGCGTAAACCGAAGCCTTAAACTCTAAAGGGAACTCCAGAAAGTTGGAATATGGTTTCAGGGTAGGATACCTTATAATTCACCATACAGGGTTTAGGATAATCATATTCCAACTTTCTGGCTTTTACTTTAAAGCCTAATCCCTAAACACGAAGCCATTAGTCCGACACCCCAAAAGGCGCCGAAGGCTTAGAATTTACCATAGAAGGGTAAGGATAATCATATTCCAACTTTCTGGCTTTTACCTTAATGCCTAGGTTCCTGACTAGTACACTGTTTTGCCCTTTGTATTTTAGGGCCTCCTTACTAAACCCGAATAGCATGAAGAAAGGTACCCTTTGTATAAAGGGTCTACTCAGAAACCTAGCCTAATGCAACGAGTCCGGATCAAGGGGCTTTGAGTCGGGGGCATGCCGAGTTTTAGCCCCTCCCTGCAAGAGCAGTAGGGCCTTGTGGTACCTTTCAGAAGCCCTTATATCTTATGACATCCGTGTAGTCCTTGAACCCGAAAGCAATCCTTCCACCCTGAACCTACATCCTAAGTCCATAGACACCCAACCCAAATCCCTATAACACCCGTCTCAATCAAAGCCCTTTAACTCCCGGTAGCTCCAGCGTATGGAATTCCAACCAGAATGCCCTTATCCAAACAAGTTGCGCGCAAAGCACATACAACCTGAACACTAAGTCAGAGGACTCCTTGATTAAACGCCCGTAAAACCTCAAACAAAACCAGAGGACTCCCTGATCAATTGCTTATAGAAACTTTGAACCCTAAACCGAAAAGAACAACGTCGAACCACTTCTGCAGACCTTGCCAGGCTAGTCCGAGAGTGAGTGTCAAACCGAAAAGAAAGCCGGAGGACTCCCTGATCAATTGCCAGATGGTCCAGCCAAAGCCACCCAAGATCGACCTCGAGAGGTCACTGGGCTGCACAATAGCACACTACTGGGGCTCGGGTTTCATGTAGGAGCCTGATTAAGAGACCTGGGTCTCTGTCAGGGCTCTTAAGATGGGTCCTACTATTTTACATAGGGCTAGGTTTTTTTAAAAATCAGATTCTGACATTATGGAGTGTAGAGCTTCAGGAGTGTGGGGTTTCGGGGATTATGGAGGTTAGGGCTGGAGGGTGTCGGGACTCGGGGTTCGCTAGGGCCTGGATAACTAGACTTGGGTTTGGGGGTATAGTAGGCTATGACCATATGGGGGCTTCAAGGGAATATGTATGGTACGCTATGACGATATGGGGGCTTCAAGGAAATATGGAGATCAGGTCTTGCAGGGTTTTGCATTTTGTCACAACTACTTTGGGGACCTTATCCGTTCAAGCCAAGGAAGCCCTTACCACCCGTACAAACGCATTGGAAGGTTGATGGTCTACACCGGTGAGGTCCTGCGCTTCGAGTGCAAGATGGTGTGGCTTTGCAGCACCATGGGTTTTGTGAGGGGGTTCAGGGGGTGGTATAAGGTTTTCGGGTTCTTATGAGCCTTCCAAGTTTTGTAGAAGCTTTTCTCTTTTGGTGGGTGATGCAGGGCTCCATAAATGCATGGTGTCTTGGTTTCAGGGTTTACGGTTTTTATCCTGTTTGGGGTTCAGGGTCTCGGATGCTTCTGAGTGAAGAGGGCATTTTGGGGTTCAGGGTGCTTAGGGCTTCGGGGCTTTGAGTCTGCGAGAGAGAAGCCGTGTCTAGCCGGCCATGCTGGTGATGTAAAGTTGTTCTGGGGTCCTTGACACGAACTCGCGTGTTGAAATGCAAACATGTAAACTGAACATGTAAACTGATAAAAGCTAGAACGGAACCAATGAAGTTGGTTGGGCGTATATTGCAGTATACCTATACAGGGATGGTCAGGGAAGCTTTTCAAGATTCTAGATTAGTCTAGATGTCATTTTGGCCTTGCTAGCTACGTCTTCTGGCACTTTAGGTGGGCTGGAGATGCCGGTCCGATCTCGCAAGCATCCTCAGCCCCAACATTCAATCTCAAGACCCTCGAAGAGAACCTGTGAACCCAAACGCCAAAAGCAACACCTGAAGTCCTAAACCCTCAATGCCTCACCTAAAGCCTTAGCCCTAAAACCCTCAGCCGAGGAATGGCGAGCCCGAAGACGAGCTGCGAAAGCTTGTCATCGCCTACTACCCGGCGGATGGCGATGTGGCAGTCTTTGAGGCATTCTTGGTGGGGGATGAAGGGTATGCGAAGGCAGTGCGGAAGGCTTGAGTGGGTCTTGAAGCCCCTGAGCGGTACTTTTCAAGAGGACAGAATCGGAAAGAAGTGGTGGGTTGTTGCCACCGGCCTCTGAAGTTGTCCTCGCTAGTTGGACAGCTTGTCGATGGCTGTCGCAGTTGGCCACCAGGGCATTCTGGACACTTGCACGACGTGCACAACCCTGAGCCTGAAAAAATCGGACTTCTGAAGCTTGAACCCCTGAACGTCCTGAAACTGTGAACCCGGGAGGCCCCCCAAAATAGGGTGCGTTGAGGGAGCAGAGCACTGCATAGAGCCATAGAGTTTGTGCCCTTCACTGGGTTCTTGCTAAGGGATGAAATTTAAGTGACCACAATCAGGAAGCCATATTGTTTACTATAGATCCCCATTATCGCAATTTAAGTTAACTCCTGAACAAGAACCCTGTAAACCCTAAACCCGGGGAGCTTGTATTCGGGCAGCCTCTTCCTGGGGAAGGGTGCCCCCTCGGAATGTAGGGGACTGGCTTCAGGGTTTGGGGGTTTAGGGTTTACGGTAATTAGTTTGCATCCCTCGTCAAACGAGAAGGCCCTGCTGTTGAGGAGTGTTCGCTGGCACACAATCCAAGCCCATGCTGAAAACGGTAATTTGTTTAGGGGTCATGCTGGACAGGTACCGGTGCGCAACAGCGGGCACATGGGGGGCAAGTTCGCAGACAAGCGACGCATCAAGAATCCAGACACCGGGGATTACTTCAAGCTCGAGGCACCATGAGATCACCGAGAGAGTTCTAGGTCGAACCTTAACCCCTAAACACCACGGCCTAGCAATCATGGGTTCCTTGTTTCAATGGTTCATCAGTCTTTCTTTTCCTTTGGTGGAGAGGGACTGGGGAAGGAGCTGATGATCTCACATCCCAGGCTCAATTTTCGAGATTCCGAGTGGTGCTGTAGGACATGTGGCCTTGCCCTCAAAGCGTCGTAAGTTTTCCTTGTTCCTCGTACCGGTACAACGTATTTCGTAGTTCGCTTGCAATTCGTAGTCATACTGATCCTACATTGAAGCTGAGCGCGAACACAAACATGAAGTTTGTGAGTGCTTTCGCTACTTGACAGCCATTATCTGCCGCACTCCTCAAGCCCTACACCATAAACCTCTAAGCCGGATCAGCGGACGAGCTCCTGCGTCGGAGGAGTGATTTTGACTCGAATGGAAACTTCGCCCCAAAGCACTAAACCCCCCAAAATGCGGCTTCAAGTTTATGGTGTGCTGAACACTAAAAAGCAATGATTTTTAGGATTTATGGTCATCTGAATGTGTGCAGGGGCTGCAAGGGGTAAAGAAATGCATAGTACATCGGGACGATGAGGTGAGATCAGTGCTGCTTGTTCAGGCCTCTATACTCTATATGGGAGTTTCCGAGAATAGGGGACCCTAATATAGTACCCTAAATAGTAAGATCCTTATTACAAGGACCCCGAAATAAGGTACCACATTTTTCGGAAACTCCCATATGACCTCAAGCCCTGTAGGACTTCTTCGTCGGCCAGACAGTCACCGTGGCGGCACAACCTCTCCAGATCGTGAGGGCAGATGAGCACTGCTTGCAGTACCTGGAGGCCCCCGGACTTGAGGATTTGCTTGCTTTGCATAGGTATGCCAATGAGGTAGTTTTTGTCTTTAGGAGTGTATATGTGTGCTTATGTAGATATTGATCGCCGGGACAGAGGCATATTGGGTTTCAGATAGGCCGCAACCGGGACGCGGTGCAGGCTCCAAGGCTTATGGGTCCTGACATGCTGCGTGCCATGCTCTCATTCCCGAATTCCGGCCCCTAATCCCTAATGGGATGAGCACAACCGGCCAAAGTCATCTTCAACTCCAATTCTTTTCGTTCCCCCGGAAAAACGATCGTCAACACGGAGTCTTGGTCCCTTGGTTGGCCTTTCAGCTTCCTGCCACCCAAGCAACGGGTAATTGCCCCAAACCTAAATACGCCCTGATACGGTTGATGATATAAATCCTGCATTACCCATAATAAGGACTATAGCATAATTCCCATAGTGTAGGGTCCTTCAGGTAATGCAGGATTTATATCATCAACCGTACCGTTCCTTAAGGCTCCTTGACGTGTTTACAGCAAAAAACGTCCGCAACAAACCCCAGTCACCCCTCGTCTGGCCCAGTCAGGTCCCTTGTTGCACTCTCAACCCTACTAGAGGAGCCTCAACAAGCACATGTACTAGTTCCTTTTTGGGGATCATATTTAGAATCCTATAAGGTAATCGCAACAAGGAACTACTATGGAGCCTATGGGTAGGCAGAACATATTTTGGGAGTTCCTTGTTAATTGTACTTATAGTTGTAAATTCTAGTATATGGCGCAATTGTAATTACAGTTATAAATTCTAGTATATGGGGCCCCGAAACCCGATTCCAATGATTATGGCCCCTATATTAGGCCTCCCCATACGTCAGCCTGGGAGCACCAGAGAAACACCCCAAAATTACTCCTGTTGGGGCCCTTCTTCGAAGGGCAGGGGACTTAGTAAGTAGGTTATAAGTAGGGTTATAATTGGGGTAACTCCATTTAGGGTACTTGAAACCCTACTTATAACCTACTTACTAAGTCCCCTGCCCTGCCAAGTAGTCATCCTTGTAGTTATCCTTTTGGTTATCCTTATATCCCTACAGTGGTCCTTGTAGAAACCTTCCAGACTTGTATAGTCTATCCATAAACCCTAAACCCTTAACCCCAAACCAAACCCCAAACCCCGATCCCTAATCCAAAACCCAAAACCCCACACCCCTAACCCCAATCCCGAACCTCAAACCTTAAACCCCCAAACCGCCCAAATCCCAAACTCACAAGCCCAAAACCGCGAAACCCCCGAACTTTCGAGACCCAGGCGCGGCCCAAAGAGTTTCCCTACGCGGATCCCGTGGCCTGCGCCCAGCGCGTGGCTTGCCTCGCGAGCGAGCCGGAGATGCAGAGTGCGCAAGGCTAATTTCGGAGCCTGCTTAAAGGATGATGGGACTTAGTAACTAGGGCCATCATTAATTTAGGGCAACTATACTTATAACTACTTATAAGCCCAATTAAGGTACTTATAACCTTACTTACTAAGTCCCATGATCCTCCAAGTGTTAAATTTAGCAGAAACGCTAATTCCTGAACCACGTGCCCGAAGCAAAACTCTCAAGCCAGATGTCTGGAGAACAAAAAATGGTCCCCCTTACGGTCGCCACAATATAAGTACAAATACAAAGGCCGATGAAATATAAGTATACATATCAGGAATTGAACAATGTACATACAAGACCTGTAGTTTTTAGGTTGAAAAGATAACGAGTTCAAAACATAAGCAAATAAGCATGCACAGTTTATAAGTAAATCCACATGGCCATAAGCCGAAAGAAGACAAATGCAGAAAGTTTTAACAGATATGCATAAACAAGGGGAATGTGAGTAAACCTGGGACAAAGATATCTGGACATATACCAGTATAGATGAACAATTACACCAACACAGAATCACATATATTTTTGCATACGTATCTGTATATGTATATGTATAGGTATAAACAAGGAAATGTAGAAACATGTCTCTATCTGTGTCCATAGCTATATCTACCTCTCTCTTGCATGATCTATTTAATTATCTGGCTGTCGATTTATTCAACTATCTGCTTAGCTAGCCACCCACATATATTACAATGTATGCACATCTGTGGTATGTATGCATGCATGCATTCATACATCCTACAATATCACATGCCGCAAACCTTGTTTAAGTCATCCAAGCTTCTTTAGTTGGAACCTTGAGCCTCCTCCGCGGTGGCAGGAATTGAGCCGGAACGGCTCAAGGACCTCGCCGCGTCCAAGGGCATTTACCTCATCGACCATGAGGCCCAGCAGGTTTTGGGATTGAGGGTTTGGTTCAGGGGGTTTGGGGTTTAGGGTTTAGGGTTTAGGGGTTTGGTTTAGGGGTTTTGGGGTTTAGGGTTCAGGGATTGCACAAGTCCTGATGCAAAAACAAGGGGTTTAGGGTGTCTCGTCCCAGTGCAAAGCAGCCCGAATACGTTGGTGAATACATCCATTTAGCTGGTAGCAATACAGAGGTAAGAAAGCGGGTCAGGGCCGAGTGCTTTGAGTGTTTTTCTGCGCACTGGTGCGCCCGACAACACATATCAACGTTCATCAACCGTTACACGAATCTAAAAACCGCCCAAACTCCTTAGACCCCTCAAACGTAAACCGCAGGCTTGTCCCAGTTGTGAGTGCTGAAACTCGAAGCCATTGTTCGGCCGCAGCTCCAGGTTGTGACCCTGCTGCGCAACTTCGGAATTGCAGGGGAGTCCGACGACGCAGCACCGCGAATTCTGGGCCCAGCCGCTCTGCCTACGGCCTCTGGCGCGCTTGGGTTTAGGTCTTAGAGTTGTTTAGGATTTTAGTGTGAATTAGTGTTCAGGAGTGCGCGGTTTAGGCTTCAAGAGCGAGGTTAAGCTTCTGAGAATGAGCTCGAGTCCTGTTAAGATCTTTTACTTCTGGCGAAGTGTGACATACGACCAACTTAGCCTCTCACCGAAGTCTTGCCATAGACATGGGTGGCTATCGTAACTCCTGAAAGCCTTCACACTGCGGTTTCGGGCATATGTACGATTCAGGGTCCAGGCATGGGGCATTAGTCGGCGTTTGGCTTTGAGCAGCTCAACAGCCGCTATATGCCTGATTCTTCTTTGCGGGCTTCGAAAAAGTAGCGAATCCACAGTATGACAAATCCTACCCTACCTGAACTTTTCGCACGTTCTAAACCCTTCACCTGGAAGCCATGCGAGAGGGAAAAAAAACACCTTCAGCGGAAGACCCAAGCCCAAGCAAGGCCCCTAATCCTCACCGCCCTTAAACCTGCAAATCTGGACCCCGCAAAACTCCTCCAAACCTTGCACCTGACAGCCGAAGTGAACGCAAGCTTTGCCCGACACGACCCACACAGCATCATTTGACGGTTCTTCGTACGCAATGGAGGGCATAGGCTTGTGGGCTTAACGTTTAGGGTTCAGGATTGTGGGCTTACGGCCTGGGGTTGCAACGGCTCAGACAGAGACGCCCAAATCCTTAGAGTCCCGTTCAACCTCAAAGGAGTTGCTGAACGGAGCCACGTCGCTGCCCGTCTGAGGGCCAACGGAGGGTGCAAGAAGAGGGAGCGAGCCCGGCGAGTCTACAGTTTCATGCACCTTCCCATAGTTGGGGTCTAGGGTACAAACGGTTTTTGAGAGTACGGTTCAAGGATTGCGGTTTTTTTAGGGTTCTATAAGGGATCTGTAGGGTTTAGGATTTAAGCGTACGAACGGTTTTGGGGTAGGGTTTAAAAGATTGAGGTTCGAATTTGCAGTTTTCTGCTCCAGTCCGTTTCAAGGGCTTACTACTACTACTACTACTACTACTACTACTACTACTACTACTACTACTACGACTACGACTACGACGACGACGACGACGACGACGACAACTACTTCTACGACTACGACTACGACTACGACGACGACAACGACGACTACTACTATTACCACTACTATTCCGACTACTACGACCACTACGACGACTACGACGACTACGACGACTACGACTATGACTACATAGGTAACTTTGGCGATGCCCTGCGTCTCCGGTTGCCGAAACGAGTTGAAACCCTAAACAACGGGTTGCTGGGATAAACAGAGTGTGTGTGCTTAAAAACCTTCTACGTCGGTAACTGGAGCACTACTTGGAAGGGCAGGGGACTTAGTAAGTAGGTTATAAGTAGAGTTATAAGTACTCTAAATGGAGCTACCCCAATTATAACCCTACTTATAATCTACTTACAAAGTCCCCTGCGCTTCCAAGTAGGGTACAGTAGGTCAGCTCCAGCCTTTCTTGCGGTAGGTGCTATAATTAGAAATAATCCGCAGATCATCCCTGTATTAGTCGTTGGTTCCGCTAGGAACTACAGCCTGGACAAGTAAGTAAGATAGGGCCAAGCTCCGATGTTGAATTACAACGATTTTGTCCGTCTCCTGGCGAAGTGCAAGTCTTTGTGCGGTTTCAGGGACCGTTTTGCCCCTGACATCGTGCAGTGGCACTGGGCCGGCCCACTAAACCCTCAACCCTAATCCCTGGATCCTAAACCTAGTCCCTAACCAGAACGCTTCCGGAGGCTACCGTTGAGGCGGCCCCAAAACATACCAGAGGCCAAAGGTTCCGCAACGAACGCTCGGAGGCGCACAAGGTTTCACATGCACGAGGCACGCGTTAAGAAAGTTTCTTGCTTGTCAATGAGTTTAGTCGCAAACCCGGAAACGAGGCTGTGGCCGTTTATGCGTACCTCCTAGCCGTAAAAAGCTGGATTCTCTGATGTTCATGCACTAGACTGTCTAGGGGCCCCAATGCAGTAAGCCTGGGAGCTGTGTCTTTGCGGGGTCGTTTTACCTTGTCGCCAGCGGAGTATTATCATAGGGTAGTAAGCCAGGAAACATCGCGCTTAGCCTGAGCTAAACCCTAAACCCTGAGCCTTAAACCCCTAAACCAAAACCCTCGTCCTTCCAGTGCGCCGCAGCACATCAGAAGTAGAGAGTAGCTGACCCGAACGCAGAGACGTTGTCAGGCTTGTCCGAGTCGCGAGAGCGTAAACCTTCCTAGAAGCGAAACCCGAAGTCCTAAACCTTGAGTCGAAACCGTCAGCCCGCAAGCTCCCCAACTCTAAGTCCTTAGGCTTTTAGATCAGGGCTTCTTTGGTGTTTACAATGCAAGAACTATCCTGGGCTCTATCAGTTATGGGGGGTTGTATGGTAGAGGCCTTCACCCCAATACTTCGAAGCCAAACTCAAGACGCCCCGCGCACCAAACTTTGGAAACTACAGCAACTTCCATCTCCCCCATATGCGGCCCTAAAGCTACAAGCAGAGGCGCAGTCAGAAGCCATAGAACCTTCTTCAACATCTGCAAGTTCGGTTTTAGGCTTTGGGCTATTGTCTTGTACACCCCCTGCTTAAAGGATCATGGGACTTAGTAACTCGGGTTATACTTAGGGTAACTATACTTCTAATTACTTGTAAGCCCAATCAAGGTACTTATAACCTTACTTACTAAGTCCCATGATCCTCCAAGTGGCAAAAGGAGAAAGAGTGCAGCATACCGGCGGGCCCCATGGTAACGGCTTACAGGCGCATATAGCAGGTAACCCCCAGACACTCTACACTTTTTGGGATAATCGTACCCACTCTAAAAAAGTGTACACTTTTTGGGATAATATTACCCACTATAAAAAGTGTACAGGGGCTTATGAACTCAGCAACTAAGTAAGACCTTAAGACCCTGAAGCCCTTAAACTAAAAGCCAGAAAGTTGGAATATGATTATCCTAAACCCTGTATGGTAGATTATAAGGTATCCTACCCTGAAACCATATTCCAACTTTCTGGAGTTCCCTTTATTGTCATCACAAGAACTTCAGGAGAGAAAGGGCCCAGGCCACATTGCTTGAACTTGGCCTGCATGCTTCCGATATGAGGCTGCAACTTGAAGGTGGTTCCGAGAATGTCGAGTTGATGCCTGATGCCGGGGTTCATAACCTCGGTGTTTGTTGTCCAGGTTGTAGTCACGTGGTGCATCTGTCCTTCGACTCTCAGAACCCTTGGTATCTTGAGCCGTTTCACTTTTTCAGCTTGCACGGGATGCAGAGTTCGGCTTCCTCTGTTATAGGCGTTATGCTGTTTTAGCTGGGGCGCAGGGTTCTTCTAAATTCTGGGGTCCCTTGTGGGAATTTGGGTTCGGAGGTCCCTTTTAGGGTTGAGGGTTTTGGCTTCGCCAGTTGTTGGAGTCCGAGAGATGGGTCTTCCCATTCTGGTACTTGGGACTGAGCGATGTCGTAACAGCGTAACACCCAGAGCCAACCGCGCCAACTCCTATTTGCAGAGGTCTGAATAATCGTAATAAGCTGCAATGATATCCCGAATATCGTGCCTAAATATGTGTCGCATTCAGGCTCAACGCGGCGCCCAGGCCTGCACATGAAGCTCGGGGTTGTTCTAAAGTGGAGCCTCCTAGTTGCTACTTCTTCAAAGGATGTTCGGTTTGTGAGGGTAAACCCTAAACTCTAAACTCTAAACCCGATGTCAGGTTTGGGTGGGAAGCCGAGGTGCTTTGTGCATGCACTACCCGGACCCCTGCTTCTTGCAACAGCCTCCGAAGGAGGCCATCGAAAAGTAGTCATGGCAGACGTAGTGGTAGTGGTAGCAGTAGTAGTAGCAGCAGTAGCAGTGGCAGCAGCAGCTGCAGCAGCAGTTGACGTCGTGGTCGCCACCATGGTCACCTCCATTGTTTTGTAAGTGATTCCGATTCCTTTACTTTGTTGCGGTTTCAACTGTTCGTATTACGTACGACGTACTCGTGCCTTAGAAGCAACAGGATCAGATATCGTCATCATCCTCATCCTCATCGTCGTCATCGCCATCATCGTCAGCATCTGTATCATCATCATTTTCGTCGTAGTCTTCATCTTCATTATCATTGTCGTCTTCATCGTTCAGATCATTACATTCGTATTGTAGGTCCTCATCAATAGTGTTTCTGCTCTAGTGCAGGATTGGGCCTGGGAGCATTCCGGAGTTCCAGAGGATCCAGAAATGCCACGTTGATGGACCTTGAGTTGAGGGCAAATGCACTGAGACTAAACCCGAAACCCTTTTCCAAGGCAGGGTCCATCCGAGCACACAGTAGCCAGGTTCCGCCTGTGCCCAGGCGCGGGACCGTCCGAGACGGAACCGGAAACGGGCTTGCCCCCATGTCTTAGCGCAGCAGGAAGGAAAATCTTGCACTGACACCCTTGGCAACAGGTGCTGGTCGCCGGTCCGAACACCGAGGGACGGGACCCAAGCCCTAAAATCCAAGCCCCAAATCGTGAACCGTTCGGATTGATTTGGAGGGTTTCAAAGGGTTTCTGCAGGGACGAGTTTGTTCCCTTGTTGAGGCGGAACCGTCGGCTCGGACTGGAACATCAGGGTTTCGACAGCTTGTGGCGAAAGGAGGATGCTGCTGCGAAGGGCTCAAAGACACCCCGAACCCAAAAGACAAGCGCGGATTCCATGACCGCCCAGCAGCTCAGCAAGCCGCCTGGCTGTTGCGTTTCTGTTCGGTCATACGTTGTTCTGAACCGGGATGCCCCAAATCCTGAAACCCGACCCCTAAACTTTCATCTGAAGAAGATTCGACCGAACATGGCCGTACCCGGTGCCCTCGCCAAGCAGAGACCAGGAAACCCACAGAATACTTTTGTGAGCAAGGTAGTTCGAAGAAGTGGAAGATGGTATTGTCGCTGCTGCAGCAGCTAAGCCTAAACCCTAAACCCTAAACCCTAAACCCTGTTCGTCCGAGTGTGAGTGCTGAAACCTTAAACCCTAAACCCTAAACCCTAAACCGTGCCTGCCCCTTTGAAATAATCCCAACGGTCCCACGAAGAAGCTCGAAACTAGCGGCTCCGGGGGGTGTAGGAGTTTAGGCTATTATATACCCATTATATAGCCCATTATAGGGTAGGTCTCCCCATTAAGGATCCCTATTTATCCCCTCTTGATAGTACAGTTGCAGAGAGAGGGATCCTAGCGGAGTACAGGTTCGGGTACACTATACCTCCTGGCCCTATTAAATCAATTAAGGCTCAGTTTATCAGGCGCTGTAAAGCCCCTGTAAAACTCTATAAGACGCGTTCAGCTCCTTTCAGACCAAAAACCACCATTCAAAAAATGCCCAAACCATTTTTCCTAAACCGGTTTATGAAAAGGAAAGGGTTTCCGGTTTTGGGCTCTCAGCCTCAGGTCCATCTCCCTCCCGGGGCTCCTCAAGATCGGCACGGAAAAGCCGAAGGCCCTTTTGTCTCTTATTCACATCAGAATAATTGAACATAGTAAAAAGCAAGAAGAACAACTATACGAGGAGGACTGCGGCTAAGAAGAATAGCTACTAGTACGGCTATTTCCGGGGGTTGCTCTATGAGCCTGAGATTGGCCTCGCAGGGTTCAGGGCTCCGGGGTGTGTATCCTTGGAACTTGGGGCCTTGAAGTGATTAGGGCTTGAGGATTCGGGTGAGGAGTGAGGGTTCAAACAGGGTTAGGTTCAGGGATCTGCCGTTTCTGTCTCATGCCTCCAGCTAAACCCTCCTTTTCTCGTGGTGTTGGAGTTTAGGGTTCAGGGTCAAACCCTAAACCCCTGAAGACACCGTAACCCCCAAACCAGCGAATGCGGAACCCTGAAAATACCTGCGGCACAGAACTCTTCATGCTAATTAGGTCTTCCCAGGTCCTAGGTGCTGTCTCCTTACCTGTACCTTACCTCGAGATACCAACACCAGGGCTCTGAATCTCAGCCCTCAACCCTCCACTGTCCCTATCAGCCAGAGACTCCAATATCACCTAAGTAAGGAACATTCCTGAAATTACAGGAGGATCCCTAGTCTGATTGAAGGACTATTCTTTAAATTACAGAAGGATCCCTAGTCTGATTTAAGGAATATTCCTTAATTAAGGGATATCGGAGCCTCGGGGAAGCATTTTTCCATGCAGCTTCAAGCCTCAGAGCCACCGATGCACCCTAAACCCTAAACCCTAAACCCATGTCAGGGCTTCACGGGCAATGCCCGAAAGACAACCCTGGGATTCAAAGTGCCTGGGAACCTCCGATCGATGGTGGATCTCCAGCCGCTCTGCCGTCGTCTAGGATGCCCAGTAGTACCCTTATTCCCTTTTTGTAGTCCTAGGTTCCTTATAAAGTTACCCAATACCAAAAAGTAGTCGTTCTCGGGGCTTGAATTAGGGTTCTTTATATAAGCCCTACTGTTTTGGGGTTATGGGCCCAGGGTGTCAATCAGGTTTCTAACACTTGCATTGTTGGGTTGAGGGTTTATGGTTTGATATGGGCGATTGGCAGACTTAGTAGTAATGGTACCACCCCCAGCACTTGTCGCAACATAGTAGTACAATATGTGCCCGAAACCTAATTCCACTTCTTCAGGTCCCTAACTTCTGTTGATGGATGAATGCAGGTTCAAGATTCAGCGAACTGGGCCGAGCTTTCATCCTAAAAAAGAAATCCGCAACCTCAAATCCGACACCCCACATCAATGAGCCCTAATTCCTAATTCCAAAACCACGGGGTTGAGGAGAGTTGGTCTTGTGCTGCCTTGGAGTCGCAGGTTAAGGATTTGATCAGGCTACGGGAGCAATGTTGTTTGGGGCGTTAGGCTTGTCGGATTTAGGGATTTGTGGTTTCGGAGTTTTGTAAGCTTGATTGGATTCGAGGGCTTAGTGTTTAGGGTTTAGGGTGTTGGGGTCCCTTCAATCCGACTTCAAGAGCCGTAAGGGTAGAGCTCCAGTACCGCAGTTCCAATCGAAGGACCTATTCTACTCGGACATTAGTCAGTCGTTCAAGCATCTCGCAACCCTTGCTGCCACCAAGTGGACGGGGCGAATGATCCTTGCGACATATCTGCTTTCAATTTCCCTACACCCTAAAATGTTTAACGCTCATCAGGCCCTATGTGAGGGGTATGAAGGTCCCCACCTCTCGTCGGGCCGGGTTTTGGGCCCAAGCCCTAAACACCTCAGCGCCGAAACACCTCAACATGCAGTCGGAGACAAGGAGTTCAACAAAAAGCACGCTACAGCCTAACCAAAACCCCAAGCCCTAAACCTTAAGCCCTTAGCCTGACGGCCCGTTAGCCCCTGTGGACCCCTTGAAGACCCGACTCCGAAGCTCAACGCGCTCTCCCCAGCCCAAAACTGGGACCTCATAGAACCCCGAAACCTCATACACCTGAACCGTGAATCCTAAACCCAAGCCCTGCGGTTGATGATATAAATCCTGCACTACCCGTAATCAGGAATATGCCACAATTCCCATAGTTTAGGGTCCTTAATGTAATGCAGGACTTATATCATCAACCGTAAAGACATTCAGCCTCAAACCCTAAGCATACTCCGCAGACTCCGAACCAGCGCCGAAACGTTCTAAACCGCCCAGAGACTCCAATATCCCATAACTAAGGAGTAGTCCCGAAATCATAGTAGGGATCCTATAACGATTTAAGGTATATTCCTTCCTTAGTTTTTGAAGGATAGTGGAGTGCCTAAATGGATCCTATTATGATTTAAGGTATACTCCTTCCTTTTTAAAGGATATTGGAGTCCCTAAATCAGGAAGACACCCCTGGTGTCCGACCACGGGAGGCAGCTCGCATCGCCTCTTTGCTGGCATTTCCCTTCGGGGGCTGAAGGCTTCTACTTGGAGGGGCAGGGGACTTAGTAAGGGCTCTTACAGGGCTCCTCAACGGGATCTATAGGGTTCCTTGAAGGGGTCTATGGGTTTTAGGGTTGTTTAGGGTCTACTTGGGAGGGCAGGGGACTTGGTAAGTAGGTTATAAGTAGGGTTATAATTGGGGTAACTCCATTTAGGGTACTTATAACTCTACTTACAACCTACTTACTAAGTCCCCTGCCCTTCCAAGTAGGGTTCCTTTAAAGAGTTCCTTAAAGGGATCTATAGGTTAGAAGCTGCCCCACCCTGTCATAGTGACTATAAGGATTATGTTAGGGCCCTATTATATTCTTATTGTACCACTATTACAGGGTGGGGGCCCCTTCTAATCTACAGGTTTCAGGGTTTTCGGGACTCCAATATCCCTTCATTCAGGAAGACCTAGGGGTAGGGTTTAGGGTTTAGGGCTTCGGGGTTTAGGGTTTTGGGTGTAATCAGTGTTTCGGGGCCTGAACAAGTGTAAGATGGGTGTGGGGTACGGTATGCGCTGCTGACCAAATCATATGAGGACCCTCGGGGGATTTTGTTTCGACTTCTTCAGACCCATATAGAAGGGCTGTTCGCGGTTCAGGATTTGTGATAACTAGTCTTGCTTCGAGGCTCAGAGGACTTAGCAAGGGTGGATACTTATCACCTCCCACCAAAACTCTCTCACTCCCTAAACACCTTAAACCCTAAACCCCTAAACCCTGAATCCCTAACCCTAAACCTTAAACTCTAAACCCTAAACCCGAACCCTAAACCCTAAACCCCGAACCGTTGAACTGTTACACCTCAAAATCCAAAACCCGAAACCGTACACCTTGAAACTGCTGCCGACCATACGAACTAGAGAGGCCCTAGAGCTTCGCCTTGGTGGGTAAAAGGGTTTCAGGGTTTCAGGGTTTAGGGTTTAGGGTTTAGGGTTTTAGGGTTTAGGGTTTAGGGTTTTAGGGTTTAGGGGTTTAGGGTTTAGGGGTTCATAAGGTAAAAGCCAGAAAGTTGGAATATGATTTTCCTAAGCCCTTTATGGTAAATTATAGGGTCTCCTACCCTGAAACCATATTCCAACTTTCTTTCTGGAGTTCCCTTTAGGGCTCTCAGATTCTATGAGTTAGATTCAAGTCTTTTTTTATGGTTGGGGAACATTTTACCGTTTATGGGTACTTACACCCAATAAGGAATAAAAGTGTACATGTTTTAATCCTATACCAGCCGTGAACTAGACATAGCTGTCTATAGTTCCCACCTTTGTAAATTTATGAACTCCCAACTCCCTACAGCCTAAGCCCTAAAGTTTTAGATTCCTAAAAGCCGTATGTAAACCGAGATGGATCGACGCAGACCCTAAACCAATCTAAAGTCCACATGCTAACCCTGGCTTGTCCGAGTTGCGAGAGCGTTGATCTGAAGCCTTTTTTTGAGGCCCCAAACCCGAAACCCTAAACCCCAACGATCCCAGGCTAATGGCAACTGCAGGCTGGCGTGTGGCCTTCGCCGAACCCCCTCCTGAGGAGGAAGTGAAGGACCAGTGCGGATTAGGCTTTGGGGCTTAGGTTCTAGGGCTTGGGGGTTGAGGGGGTTTGGTTTTACGGTGCTGTGGTTTAGGGTTTCTAAGCCTCTTGGGGTTGAGGTCTAGGCGTTATGGGTCGAAGGGCTTACAGGGAACTCCAGGAAGTTGGAATATGGTTTCAGGGTAGGATACCCTATAATTTACCAGAAAGGGTTTAGGAGAATCATATTCCAACTTTGCGGCTTTTACTTTAAGGCTCAGGTTTTTGAAAGCAATCACGGAGTGGAGCTGGTTTTGCTGGCAGCTGGGCCCTATGCCGCCACCCTAAATCCTTCAATGCTACGCCCCACCGTGGGGGCCTGCATAACAACCCAGAGACTCCAATATCCGTTAATTCTGAGGAATATTCCTTCAGTCATATGACGGATCCTGACATAATTTAGAGTATATTCTTTAATAAAGGGAGATTGGAGTCTCTGGGAAGTACCTTTCTCCCCTGATCCGAACAGAATCATACGCTAGCGTACCCACACCCTATTGAGATCATTAAGAGCCGGCATTTATCCAGGAGGAAGGCATCCTCCCATTTATTCCCCCAAAGCCCTAAACCCTAAACCTCTTGTTCCCAGGAGGAAGACATCATCCCAAAGAACCTCCAAAACCTTGTTAAACCTTCAACCCTAAATCCTAAGCCTCCTTTTTTCCAGGAGGAAGACATCATCCCAAAGAACATGCGCTACCCGCGGATTACACCAGCGTGGCTCAAGCACGAGAAGCAGGTGCTGCGCTTCTACGGTTTCTTCCAGGTGCCAAGGCTGTTTTGGGGTTTATGGTTTTGTGGGATTCATGCTGTTTTATGAGGAACTGTTAGGGTTTGGTGTGTTTGGTTTAGGGCCGGGTTGGGGGTTTAGGTTTTTGCGGGATTTCATGCTGTTTCATAAGGGTTTTGTTAGGGCTTCGCAGCGTTTGCAAGTTTGCTGTCCCAAGATCCAAAGAGGATAAGTTTCAGGTGCGGGGTTCAGGGTCTAGGATCTAGCAATTTGGGACGTAGGGACAGTGTCGGCATCCATCCGTGGTTCGACAGAAGTGGTTTTGGATGTGAAGTTTATCTTCATTCGGGCAGCCTGGCTCACCCCCAGCCGAAATGCTCAAAAAACATAAACCCTAAGCCCTAAACCATAAGCCCGAAACTCAAAGCCTATGCCAGACTAAGGAGTCGATTCCAGAACGGTGGGACGAGAACAGCCGTTACCGACATGTATATATCATGTGCCCTGGGCTTTTTTTAGTGGCCTTGACAATTAGAATAGGGTTTTGGGGCCCATTATACTATAACTATAGTAAGAAACCCCCAAAAACAGTGGAGGTAATTATTGAGGCCCCTATATTAGGGTCTAGGGTTTCGGTTTGAAGGCTTTGTCGAGGGTTTGGGGCTTGAGGGTTCATCATCAGGGGCCCGTGTGCGGCCTTTGCCCGGGCTTCTGATCTGTTGTCCTGGTTCTATTCTAGTACAGGACAACTCCAACATGGGTGGTTGTCCAAATTATGGTCCTTTTTTGGGTCCCGAATACAATACGGCACCTACTGCTTTAAGGTACCCAAAAAGCTTTAAACCCCAAACCCAAAAAGGGACCCTAGTTTTGACAACCACCCATATGAAGGCCTGTCTATAGCTGATCTTTTTGAACACCCTTCCGCGGGCCTTCGAAGCCCGGGCTTCCCGGGATGTAGGGCTTTAAGTTAGGGGCCCAAAAAGCACGTAAGCATAAGCATGTTATAGGGATATCTCTACCATATTGGGCTTCATCATAAGGGGATTCATATGGGATATCTCTATCCTAATTTTTGCTTATGTGCTTTTTTTAGGGCCCTATTGAGAGGAGTTCTGGAACTGAGGGGTTCCAGGATTTTGCTTTTGGGGGGGTGCTTTAAGGGTTCCCTTCCGGGATCGATGAGGATACTTTTGGGTTCAGGGCTTTGCTTTTGGGGCTTGGGGTTTGGGTTTTTGGGTGTAGGGGTTGGGTTCAGGTGTTTAGTTGAAGGTTCCGGTTACTCACAGCTCAACTATGTGTATGTGCTAAGAAGTGAAGTACAACCTAGCTAGCTATAGGTTGAGGGATATCAGGTTTAAGGCTATGCTACACTTGACTTGAGATTGGCCTTACATGTCTGGCAACCCGAACCATTTTTGCTGACTTTCTTGTTTGCGCAAGGCAGGCCTTACATCGCAAGGTTGAGGTAAGAAGACATAGAATATGGCTTCTCCCTCGGCAAAGATCCGGTCTCCTTCAGCATAGATCCGGAAGCTTTCGTCCCAACAGCCCAGGTATTTCATGGAAGATGGCACGATCGGCATCAACGAGCCAAAGGTAGAGAACTCAGGCATTGCGCAAGGTACTTTCCTGAAGAGAAGTCGCGTCCTCAACGAAGACGGCATCCCTGTTGGCCCGGATGACATGCGAGTGGGACAAGACCTAACGCTGCATGGCCGTACCTATCACATCAGTGGCTCGGATATGTCTGGCATAGCTCCTTTTTTCGTGGTTTCTGAACTGACTCTCGGTTCTGAACCCTAAAGCGCTTACATAATACGCATTCCTACGCAAAAACACCCTAAACCCCCAAGACTTAAACTGTACCACCACATATCGAAAACGATACAACCCCAAAGCCAACCTCCTCTCAATCCGACAGCCTGGCAGCACCACGGTGAGTGGTAAACTCTGCAGCCTAAGACCCTAAACCCTGCCTGAAAGCTATCGGGGCTTCATGTTGGGATTAGCGTATTTAAAGTATATATCCTTCCTAAGCCGGATATTGAACTTTCTGCGGAACGCCGGAGACTACAAGGTGGCGGCCTAGACCCTAAACCACATAAACCCAAAGCCAACCCTGCCATGCAGGCTCGTCCTTGCGAAGTAGGAGGCCCAAAAACGCTGAGCCCTAAACCCTAAACCCCTAGCAGTCGCACAAGGCGTTCAACAAAAACCCTAAACCCCTAAACCCTAAACCCCAAAACCACAAGGTGGCTGCGATCGCTTTACCCGCTGGTTTTTCGAGGAGAACGGCATCCAACTTGGGGAGGCCCATCTCCCTTGGGTTTACTGATTCGAGGGTTGAGGGTTTAGTTAGGGTTTAGGGGTTTAGGGGTCGTTGTCCTGGTGAAGCCTCTGCCCGCGAGTCGTGTTCTGATCGTGCTGATGGTGAGGGATTAAGTTGCTTCTTGATCTTTCGCAGGGCGATCACACGAGCCGATTTCTTCGATACTGTTTTCTTAGTTTCTGGATCCTTGGCAACAGGTCGGAGGGTCAGTCCCGGCAGCCAGCAAGCCCGGGTTCAAAAAAAAGGGTTAAGGGCTAAGGGTTTAGGGGTTTAGGGTTTGGGATCGACACAGGGGCCTAGTCCTTTCTATTCATGGCCATCCCAGCATTCCGATAATTAAGCTACCTGTACCAAAACCCTCTATGAAACGAGCCCAGTATAGAACCCTGATAGAGGCGTGTGTAAGAAGACCTTTGAAGAAACCCTATGGCAAGCACAAGCCCTAAGCCCCGGATAGTTGTTTGAGCTGGTCCCAGCCTTGTTCGTCGGGATCTTCAACAAATCCCTCTACCCTGCAGGGCTGTTGGGTTGCCTAGACCCCCAGATATATATATATATATATATATATATAGAATAATCGCCCTTTGTAGGTGTCGGGCCGTTATTTCACCTACTTTTGTTGGGGGGGTTTTGGAAGCCCGAGCCCCAAAAAAGACCTACGGTTGATGATATAAATCCTGCATTACCCATAATAAGGAATATGCCATAATTCCCATAGTTTAGGGTCCTGAAGGTAATGCAGGATTTATATCATCAACCGTAGTAGCTGAGTAGGTGACCTTTAAGCTTTTGGGGTTTAGGGTTTAGGGTTACTGGCTGGTTAGTGGTTTACTTAAAGGATCATGGGACTAGGTAACTAGGGTTATAATTAGGGTAACTACACTTATCACTACTGATAAGCCCAATTAAGGTACTTCTAGGACCTAGAGTAGGCCCTTATTCCCTTTTTTAGGGTTCAGGTTCCCTTATGAGCCCCTTTAAACCAAAAAGGGCACCCTTTTTATTCCTAGGTTACTCTTGGGTCTAGACTTATAACCTTACTTACTAAGTCCCATGATCCTCCAAGTAGGGCTTGGCCGGCTCATGGAGGCACTTCGGAGAGAGACCTCGTTTCTAAGGGGAAAAGGAGGGACCCTTCATGGGGACCCCTACCCTATAATGGGCTATATAACGGGTATATAAGGGTATATACCTAGGGGTCCTTATTAAGGGTCCCTCCTTTTACCCTTGGATCGTTCCAAGAAAGGCTTGCCGTGTTAGGCGGGATTCACGCAAGCCTGTGCAAAAAGGGTTTAGGGCTCATATCGTCCTACCATAATTGAAAAAGGTCAACCTTGTTTGGGCTAGGGTCCTCAGCCCCTAAGACTAACCTTTGGTTAGTAGGGAATGGAGGAATGGGATACAATTATAACTACTATTACTACCATTCTTCCATTCCCTACTAACCAAAGGTAAGAAGAAGAGACAACATGGTGCAAGGACGAAGATGTTCCCACCGACCTGTGGCAGAAGGGCTACCGCCTCGCGAAGGCCTTCGACCGAGGCGGTGTTCCTCTGACCAGAGCCGCCGTAGAAGACAAGGACAGGTGGGAATCAGGGCACATGGCTAACACAGGGGCCTTAAAAGCTAGAATAAGCCCTAAACAGTAGTCTGACTGTTAAGGCCCCTACATTACATGACTTTTTCATTGGAAGGGGGTTGGCATGGGGATGGGGAGATGACTCGGCTAGAAAGTGTAAATGTAAGTGGCGAGTCTTGGAGAGAGTCACGGTACCGACCACGGAAGCAAACACAGCTCCGAAGTACTGTTGCGCGCGGTCCAGCAACATCGAAGTCCTACAACCCGACGGTTCAAACCCTACCCCGGCAAGCCTCCAGGCAATACAACGTGCCATGGGGGGAATCCCGCCAATCGACAAGAAGCTGTCGCAGCAACTGTACTGCATGTGACACACATTTTGGGCTCTTCCTGCTTGTTTCGAAGTGTAGGAGTTTCAAAAATTTCCGGACCCTGATCTAGACCATAAACAGTGGGATCTTGAATCCCCAACCCCTTAAACACAGCAATCTAGACCCTAAGTAGTAAGACTTTAAAAGGCGCACCAGCGTAACGCCTAAGTTACCCTCAGCAACCCTAACCATTCCCGAAACCTTCAACCCCTCATACCGTAATGGCACTTAAAGGATCATGGGACTTAGTAACTAGGGTTATAATTAGGGTAACTCTACTTATGACTACTTATACGCCCAATTAAGGTACTTATAACCTTACTTACTACGTCCCATGATCCTCCAGGCAGGAGTTCCCCACACGCGCTGTTTACCCAACATCGCAAAGATTTGCGAGCTTGACTGTCGGGGCTGGCAGATGGTTTGCTTACTGTAGGGGCCTTAAGACTTAGACTAGAGTTGTGGGGCCCATTATACTATAATGATAATAAGCAGCCCCCCCCCCCCCCAAAAAAAAAACCCTGTTCTAATTATTAAGGCCCCTGCAGTATCCAGGATTGCTGGCACATCCATGGCTTCGGCTTCAGATTTCTAAGGGGAGTGACGAGATGGAAGTGTTCTGCTTCGCCCTAAACCCCCCCAAAACGCCCCCAAGCTCCTATATAGACTCCTCAACCCCTAAACGCTAAGCCCCGAAACCCTGAGCCCTAAACCCGAAACCCCAAATCCTAGCGATCGCAGAAACACCAAGGTTCTTGCTGAATGACCGGAAAGTATTGCGCTTCAAGGCCGCTTGGAGATCGGCACAACTTCATTTTGTGGTTTAGGCCCGATGCAAAAAGGGTGTAGCTTGCAGTTTGGGACATGCCTGAGTATAGATCTAAGCTCTCGTGTCATGCTGTTAGTGGAACATCCTTGCAATCTGCTGTGCTTGCCGCAGACATAGGCGGGCTGCGAGCACAGTTGTGTCCCGGAGGCTTCAAAGAACCTCTTGCTGTCACCTTAGTCTGAAGTATAACCTCGACATGGCACCTATCTGAAGCAAACCTGATGCCGCCAAGCCGTACAAAAGGCCCTAAGCCCCGAAACCCTAAGCCTTGACCCCAAACCCTGTTCCCTCAGACCCTAAACCCTAACCTCCATTCCCTAAATCCCTAAACCCTATTCCCTAAACCCCTATATACAAACCCGGGCCCCAAGAGAAAGCACACTCTCCAAATCCGTAAACCTCCCCTGAGCCTAGAACCTTCAGAGACCTTAAACCCCCACACCGTATGATCCCCAAGGCTCATTCCGTCGGGGTGGGTCAAACGGGGTTTCATAAACTGATCCTCAACCCCAAACCTGAAAGTGTATGGGCATTTTACAGGGTGCTCATTACTTGTGATGCAAGTTTTGCACGCTGTATGCAATGACAGAACTCAACTTGAAGGGGTCTGTCGGTCTGAGTGAGCAGTCCATGATGAATGCTTAACAGTACTGTTTATGTTAATGGTGTAGGGTTTAGGGATATTCACGAATGCCCCAAGTTTCGAGACAGAGCGTGTCTGCGCCTAATGTGCGGCAGACCCATTTCACGTCCTTTCTTACATCCTGTGCCCCAAACCCTGAACCGAAATTTCTGCTAGATTCTGACAGATGTTTACGGAGGTAGAAGCAGACGCTCGCTCGCCTCCTGCAACCCCAGAGACTCCAATATCCCTTAGTTAAGGAAGATTTTTGAAATTATTGTCGTAGGATCCCTGACATGGTTTAAGGTATACTCTAGGTACGGCCCCCACTCAGTAATAGTTGACTAATATTCATAATATAGATATAGTAGGACCTTAATCGTAGCCCTTTTGTAGACTCTTACTGTATGGGGGCCGTACCTATGGTATACTCTTTTCTTTAAGGGATCCCCTAAACCCTAAACCCTGATATGGTTTGAGTTATACTCTTTTCTTTAAGGGATCTTGGAGTCTCTGGGAATCGCGGAGCCAGGGCTATTGGGACGATCACACGCCCTATGGATCCCGACGCTGGGGCAGTGAATGAAAGGTTTAGCGGTTCGGGGAAAAGGTGCAGGGTTTAGTGTTTAGGTTTTAGGGTTTAGGGTTTAGGGTTTCGGCATAATAGCGATGGAGATGGGGGGGGCTTGGGCTTTAGTTAGGGGTTCCTTTTAGGGCAGCGTTCAAGGTTTGGGGTTCAGACTCGGCATTTGGCGTGAAGCAGTGCGTGGGTCGGTTTCTCCACGGTGGCATTCCCACAGTTAGATTCATTGTAGGAAGGAGGCTAGTAGTAGTAGTAGTAGTAGTAGTAGTAGTAGTAGTAGTAGTAGTAGTAGTAGTAGTAGTAGTAGTAGTAGTAGTAGTAGTAGTAGTATAGTAGTAGTAGTAGTAGTAGTAGTAGTAGTAGTAGTAGTAGTAGTAGTAGTAGTAGTAGTAGTAGTAGTAGTAGTAGTAGTAGTAGTAGTAGTAGCGGCCATCGGCTAGGCATGGTCTTGCTGGTCTTCCTTAAGTCGGTGGCAGCGTGCCTTCGACCATCACCTAAGTACCTATCGTCCCACACATGGACAAATGTCGAGATTTCAAGACTATGCTCGATTTCTTGCAAGGGGAGCGCATCGTTCCCTTCTCTGAGCTTTGTGAGTGGGCTCCGCTTTGCCTTCTCCGTAAGCTTCCTTTGGCCACAAGGTAAACCCTAAACCCTAGACCGTTATACACCTGTCATCGCACTGTGATGTCTGCCCCTGCAGCACCCTCAACTCGACACCCCCCAAGCTCCAAACCCCAAGCCAGAAGCCCTTATGCCTAAATCCTAAGAACCTCGCCTGGCTGTGTCCGAGTTGTGAGAGCGTAATGCCTAAATCCTAAATTGAAACCCTACCCCGAAACCCAAAAAAGTTTAGACAAGGAGTCTACTTCATCATCCACTAAATGCTTAAATCCTCATTTGAAACCCTACCCCCAAACCCAAAAAAGTTTAGACAAGGAGTCTACTTCATCATCCACTAAATGCTTAAATCCTCATTTGAAACCCTACCCCCAAACCCAAAAAAGTTTAGACAAGGAGTCTACTTCATCATCCACTACTATCTCGCTGACAACACCGTCGAAATCAACGAGGCGGCCGAGCGAACCTTTTGGGTTCAATCATACAAAGTGGGAGTTTCCGAAAACAGGGGACCCTAATGTAGTACCCTAAGTAGTAGGATCCTTGTTATAAGGACCCCCCAAATGAGGTACCCCTAATTTTCGGAAGCTCCCAAGTAGAAAATCTTATAACAATGATAGGGTGCAGGGTTCAGGGTGTAGGGGTTTGGGTTGGAGGGTTTAGGTTTAGGGTACCTTATGACAATCGCAATGATAGTTGTAAGCACTTCGCCGGGGATGGGATCGGAAAGAGGTTCCCGGAGGGGAAAGAGGGAACCTCTGAGTGCTTCGGCGGGTGCCGAGGCGAACAAGAAAACGAACGGTAGTAATACACTCATCATCGTTGCTGATAAGCATGAAAGTATCAATAGAAATACTGCGATTATTTTTGCGAGAGTACCACACTCGAGTCATAATCCTCGTCCCATCGTCGCCACCCGCATCCTTGCCATCAGCTCCACCATCACTAGCAGCACCACCGGTAGCCATCAACACCAGCATCGCAATCTACAGCCCCCATCTTCGTCAATACCAATGATGATGATGGTCATGGTCATGGTGCGTATGATGATGACGATGACGATGATGGTGATGGTGGTGATGTCGTCATGATGATCATGGTGATGATGGGAATGCTGACGTGGAGGAAGCCAACCGCTGTAATTTTTAAGGCCATTACATTAGCGGCACTCACCTGCAAGGCTCATTGCCGCAACTCCGGCCGAGCAAAGTGGCCAGCAGCGCGCTGAGTTTAGGGTTTAGGATGGTTTAGGGTTTTGGCCACTTCGGAAGTAGAGGGGTGCTTGACATGGGTGGTTTTGCACCTAATTAACTCGCGAGTCTCTGAGCCTCGTGGACCTGCCGCAAGCAACGAGACAGAGAGCGAGCAAAAGAGAAGCAGAGCGCGAGGGAGAGGCGAGAAAGACATGGGCGGTTGTCAAAATTAGGGTCCCCTTTTTAGATCCCTAATATAATACGGCACCTAATATTTAGGGTACCCAAAAAAGGGACCCCAATTTTGACAACCACCCAGATGATATGGCATAGCATACTATATGGGTTTGTCCTGCAGAGTAGCTCTGCCAAGTGCGCTAGTTCTTCTTGCACACCATTGTTCATTTTCATGGTAGCCCTACATCGTAAACCCTAAACCCTAAGCCCTAAACTGTGAACCCTAAACCCGAAATCGCCTCGACTAGACTCTCCGAGCTGTCAGCGCCGACAAGCGAAACCCGGAACCCTACTTGGAGGGTCATGGGCAGTAGTAAGCATGGTTATAAGTACCTTTATTGGGGTGATACTTAACCCGGGTTACTAAGTTCAACCATCCTTTAAGTAAAGGCTTGGAAGCAGGAGGCCCAAAGGGAGTATGTAGCTTGCTTGGAGGCGCGGTGGACTCAGTGAGTAGGGGAAACCCTAGACCCTAAACATAAGCCCTATACACCCTAAGTAGGTGGGTAATACGGATCGTTTTGAGCATCTCAAAGGTGGCCTTCTGTTTTACCTAATTGGTTTGTCCAACGAATGACTGTCATTGAATAACTACTTACCACTACGTCCGAGACGTAGTTTTCCCTTGGAAAAACGCTCCAGTGCGCGGACTCGCACGGATGGAGGGGGGGTTTGATATGGTTGCTGAAGAAATTTTCTTGAATAAAGGATGTCGGACTAAACCCTAAACCCGGACGGACGGCCCTGTGAGGTCTTCATGAAACGTGCACCTCTTCGCAAGAGTGTCTTAGAAGCACAAGGGGCTAACTCCCCCACCTGCGTGAATCTTGAAGTGCACAGAGAGCCCAGGACCCACAATCAAGGAATATACTTTAAAATCTAAGGGGGCGTTACCCAACAGTATTATTTTTTGTCCATTCCTCAGTCAAGGGGCGTTGGGATCTCTAGGTAAAACTTTGAGAAACGGGCCTTCGCTCCGGACCACAAGCCCAGATGCCTGATGCCTGTAGCTCATACTCCATGCCCCCTGCCGTGGAGACCTTGGCCACCCCAAGCAATAGTCTAGACCTTTTATCTAGGTGTTTACCACACCCTACCTCAAGAAAGTTTTTTTTTAAGGAATTCTCATATTAGGCCACACAAAAAGCAAATAACAAACCCTTCCTTTCAGAGCGTTTAGTATTGGGATATCTACACTATGAGAGCCCACTTATTAATGGGACGCGGTTTGTTAATCAGGGGTCTGGTCAAATCCTCCCAAACCTTGAACCGTTCAGGCCTAAACCAGGCCAGAGCGACGGAGACGTCAGTGTCCCGCTCCGATTGATTGAGGGCTGCATTCTATGGGGGTTCCTATGATGTGCGATTTAAGGAGTATCCTTGGGTGCTGCCCCCATACAGCAAGAGTCTATGATAATAGGGCTACTATTTAGGTCTTAATTGTATATTTCCATATATATATATATATATATATATATATAATGAATATTATTCAACTGTTGCTGAGTGGGGGTAATACCCAAGAGTATCCCGTCTGGACCCGACAAAAGCACAGAGACTCAGGCAACTTCGTCAATGCTGCGCCAGGGATGCTCTCCTGTGAGGCTTGTGTCGGGGGCTTTGGGGGTTCAGGGTTGTGGTTTTATAAGGGTTCCGTAGGGTTTGTTAGGGTTTGATGGAGCTTTATGTGGCTTCACGGAGTTTACAAGGTTTCACACTGTGTTGTAAGGGTGATAGTCGGTGTAGGGCAGGGTTTACAGCATGTTCGACGGCTTCGACGTGGGGCTTTGCTGGCAAGCCTTGATGCTTCAGGGTCTCTAAGATAGAGGCCTTAATACTAATAATACTAATAATAATAATAGTAGTAATAATAATAATAATAATAATAATAATAATAATAATTTCCAAGACTATTTTGGGGATTCCTTATTATAAGTATAGTATCATGAACCCCCAAAGCCTGATTTTAATCATTAAGGCTCCTATATTACCCTATAGCAGACCTAATACCCCTCATAGAAGGACTGCGCCTGAATTTCCTCAGGGTTTCTCTGTGCGGAATATACAAGGTTAAACTAAATGACCTCGTGGGAGGGGGCACTGGCATTGAGCCTTTAAGCCGACGCGGGGTTTTTCGTATACCATCCTCAACTACCCTGGGTTTGGAGTACCATACTTGAATACATTTTTTTGGTACCTGTTCCTTAAAGGAAGCATTATGAAATCAAAGTCTATACTTTTTTCTCCCTGGCTACTTCAAAGTCCAACTACAGCTACAATGTACCACGTGCCCATGAGACCTCGATTCCCTCGGAAATCTTCGGCCCTCCGACCCTCACCCCAGCCCGAAAGTCATGGAGGTCAGGGTCTAGGACCTAGAGTAGGCCCTTATTACTTTTTTAGGGTTCAGGTTCCCTTATCACCCCCTTTAAACCAAAAAGGGCACCCTTTTTATTCCTAGGTTACTCTTGGGTCTAGGGGTTTAGGGTTACCTATAGTCTTCGGCAAATCGTAGTCACATGTGAGATCGTTCCGGATGCTTGGCCTGAGCGCACGAGTCGCTTACTCACTAAGTGATTGTGGTCGAGTGTTCGTCCTGGCGGAGTCGCAGCAGGCCAGTTGCAAAAGGGTTACCTATAGTCTCCATTGTAGTTCCTGTTCTTGGTTAACCAGTTTTATGGTTAGGATCCTACAATAGAGTTTTTGGTTAACCAAAAAAGGAACTACAATGGAGACTATAGGTAGGGGTTTAATTAACAAAGTGAAACCATTACTCGAAACCATAAACCGCGGCGTGGGGTTTCGAGAGGTCCTTCCTTATTCGTGTTCGGGTTAAAACAGAGCATCGGACGTGTCAGGAGCTGAGAATTGGTTGGAGATTTGTTGGGTTTCCCAGAGACTCCAATATCCCATATTCAAGGCATATACTTTAAATTGTAGCAGGATCCCTAATATGATTTAAGGAATAGTCTTTAATTAAGGGACATTGGAGTCAACTGAGAGATCGGCGCTCGTGAGTTGAGGGATCCCGTGGTTCATGGTTTCTGTGCGGGTAACATAGGGACCTTAACCTCCACTATTTTGAGGTTTCCTTATTAGAAATACTGTATGGTATAATCGGCGCCATTTCCCAGTTCTAATTATGTTGGCCCCTAGAGTATCGCTGCTCTTGCGAGGCACCGCGTTACCTCCCCGAGGATCTGAAGGCAGCGGGTGCGATGTGAAGCGTAACGGCCATGAAACCACCGGTTTAGGGTTTAAGGTCCCAACATGACAGCCTCGTTGAATGATCCATCATCTTTTCATGATTCTATGAGACGCTGTCGTGCACTGTTTACGATGGTGCTGATGACGGTTTTTGCTCCGCGGGCCGGCACTACTCTTATTGCTACTCAGATGCTCCTTAGGGGTACTTAGAAATAATTTTTAATCTTTGGTTATTATAACCCCTAAGAACCAGCTAAAATTATAATTGTTGCTAGGGTTCAAAGTTAAGTATAGACTCAACTACCCACCGGCTCTCCGACTCTCCCACTCTGTAGCCTCCTACGCTGCTACACTACTCCTAGTCCTAGTCCTAGTGCTACTCCTACTACCACCACTACTACCACTGTGAGGACGATGACGGCTCCTTCTTCTTCGGCTTCTGTTTGAACTTATACGAATACTACCTACTAAGTACTGCTGCTTCTACACAATATTATGACTTGCGGGAGGGTCGGATCAGGAACAGTTCCGGAGATCCACCGCCACACGGCACGGCAACAATTAAGAAGCACTCCTAGCGTCATGTCTCTTCGAGTTGAAACTTCCTTACGGTCTTTTTCGGGTTGTAAATTAAAACTACCAAGGTCCTGAGCCTCACGAGTGCCGAGAAGCTAGATGCTAGTATCTCACACAGGTCGGCGAGTCGATACACGCTTGGGGCCGCAAGGCAGGGGCCCTGAGCAAAGATAGGGGAGTTTCGGGCTCAGGGTTTAGGGGAGTTTACACCTCAAAACTCACGGTTTAGGGTTTAGAGTTTAGGGCTCAGAGTTTAGGGTTTTGGGCAGAAGCAGTGGCATGTGCATGGGCCTCGGTCGTGATGATAGAGGTCGACCGGATCCGGCTGGCCCTCAAGCCCAGTAGCAAAAAAGGGCAACTGTTTGTCTTGCGCATGCAGGGCCTAGGGGGAAAGCTTGCACTGCTGTCGAACACTTTTTACCTCAATGTATAACGGTCCTTGGCATAAACCTTCTGTCCAACTGTATGCGACTAACCCCCAAAGCTTAGCCCAATCTTGCGGCCTGAAAAGCTTTATCGCACGAACTACCTCGAAAGCTTAGCTGCATCTCGGGGTCTGGATAGCTAGTAATACTACTACTCCTTGGCTTGTTTAAAGGTAGCTGTGGTGCAGCAGCCACAAACCATAGCACTACCCAAGAAGTTAAAACCTCAACCCTAAACCCTAAACGCTCTAACCCTGTAAACCTGCACCTGCAAACGCACAAGCCATGAGGTGCACACCAAATCCGAATTCGCCGTTAGAGGTTGTTCTCTGTTTGGGTGATTCCCTTTGAAGTTTAAGGTTCGTGCTATAATGAACTGTTGTTGAATCAAGATGGGCACTTTGAGGAAACCGCATTTTGGGGCAGTACAAACCTCGGGGGCTTTACGAAACCTTGCAAATTTTCGTAGGACCCCTTGAAGAAACCTGGAATTAATCCATCGCAGACCAAACTCTAATCCAGAATTAGGAAACCGTCAAGGGAATCCCCGGCCACCAGTCTTAAAGCAACCTCCTAAATCCTCTTCCCTGAACCCGTTACTGCGAAGCCTAAACCTCCAAGGGCCCAAGGGACCCGATATTTAGGTACTTCAGTTTCGGATAGTAGTTATGTAGATGACTTTTTCGGAGAGTATATGATTCTTAGGTGCTTGGATTCTTGGGGAACCCTAAACCCCCTTACAGCCTAAAGCAGCTTGCAGGTGGTCCTATGGGACTGTGATGACTTCACGAGGAGCTTCTACAAAGAGTATCTGGGTGCCCTTGTCCGAATTCCATGTCAGTGGCCTTCAGATTTTCTGGTTTGCGCTTTGGGAGATTTTTTAAATTTCCCTTATTTCCTTCTAACACAGCACCACAGCACCGCGGTTCATGCTATCAATGCATCAGCACAGAACCGTTCAACAAGGTTGCGGGAAGCAGCTTGATGCATACGTGTGCGAACGATTTACCCGAACGGCCGTGTAATGCTGTCACGGCTGAAGCAGGAAACATTCAGAAGAACACATGCCGGCGCCCTCATGATCGGCAGTCTATGTCATCAGAACCCATTAGGCACATGCATTCACACATGAATGCGTACATGTACATGTACATAGACATAGCCACCTGATGCAATGGCACGCGAACATACAATACATGCATACATATGTGCATACCTACATGCATACCTACACTGATGCCTACATTCAGACCTACCTACCTGCATGCATGTACACACATGCATAAATCAGTGTATCTATATATACACCCCGCACACATGCATGTGCACATAATGCATGAATACACACGTACATACATGTCATGCGCGCATAACAGCCTACACATACATATGTACATACACATGCCCACATGCATGCCTACCTGCACATACATGTATACATGCATGCATGAATGCATGCATATGTACATATACATCTACCTGTGCATAAGTGTGTATAGTTGTACCTATTCATGTATACGTACCATGTGCTGCCGTTTGTCCGCACATGACAGTCTGGATCTAAGTATGTACCCTACCTAATTCTGCGTTCTGGAGTACCATGCTTGAGTTTGGGTGGTGAACCTGTTCCGGAAAGGAACCGCTATGAATTACAAGAGCTTTTCTCATTGTTTACCTAAAGCCCAGAATTACGACCTTCCTAGCACCCTACTTGCTAGCTAAGCCCTGCGAGTGATCTCAGTTTGCTTTATAGTTCCCAGGTATCGACCAAGCTCAGGGACGGATCGATGTAGCGGAGAAGCCGCTGACGCACGCGAAGCTCATGCCGCCGCCGCACACGGGTGTGGGCAAGGACCATGGAGGGGTGCATGTTACCGTAATTGTAGGCCCTAAGCAGCAAACCCCTACGGGCCTGTGGTCTTGGGTTTGGGACTGTGGCTTCGGGCCTTATGGTCTGTGCGGTAGTCGGGGTCCAGGGCCGAGTGGGCAATGGGAAGCATTCCATCGGTGAACGCCTACTTAGAGGTTCGTGGGACTTAATAACTAGGGTTATAGTTAAAGGTAACTACACTTATAATCCCGATTAGGGTACCTATAACTGTGCTTACTAAGTCCCATGAACCTCCAAGTAAGACATTGAGTCAGCCTACGACCCAGCCGGTTGCAGGTTCAGGTTCTAGAATCCTAGAGAGCGGTCTCCCAGTCCCAGCAGTCGTACTTGTGAGGCCACCTGCGCCGATCAGGGATGCAGGCATTCGGTCGGTGTGGTCGAATCGGGGACTAGAAGGGGCAACTACAACTAGGTGGCAATTTGGGAAACTTTTTAATATCCCTTATTGTTCTTATAGAGGTTCGTATTCATAAATACTTTTCAGAGCCTCAAAGCCACCCAGATAAAGATTTTTGATGCTCTTGCAGCCCGGGTCCAGGGCCAAGGTTTGCGACTGAATTAGGCTTCGGGGTTTCGGACTTAGGGATTTTGCATCGCCTTCAAATTGCCCCGATCCAACATAGAGTCAACTGTGGGTACATAGCTACCTTATCTTTAGCTTCTTGCTGAGTGGCCACATGCCACCTGTAAACTCAACTTTAAATCACTAGGTGGCAATTTGGGAAACTTTTTAATTTCCCTTATGGTTCTTATAGAGGTACCTATTCATAAATACTTTTCAGAGCCCAGAACTACAACCCAGATCACCTGTGCAGGAGGAAGACTCCCTGCTGAACTGCAGCATGATCCAGCCCACGCCGCCCAAGGTGCATCATGCTCTTTAAAGCAAGCGATGGTGGACGACCCTAAACTCGAAACCACAAACCCGAAACCCTAAACTAAGCCCTAAACTCGAAACTCAAGGCCTAGGCCGCCCACCTCCGTGGGTGGGCGGCGCCTAAGCTCCTGGACCTCGATGGCGCAGAGCAACCCACTACGCTCGCCCGCCTCTCCACAGCCATGGGGACCGTAGCACCCATGTCGTACCCGGTACCGGAACACGTTCTCCTCGGGACCAGTACTGGTCCCTTAACACAGTCATTACCCCAAACCCCAAGCTCCTGCCCCTGGCGGTTATTGGGTTGGGCAGCAGCCGGCCCAAAAAAATGGGACCTAGGGCGTCTGCGACCTACAGCGAGCGGAATTCAAGGGTCGAAAATCGTGGGCCCTGCCCTGCCCTGCCCTGACAACCTTCAAGAAATAGAAGATGAGTTTAGGGCTAGACCCTAAAAGGCCGTAGACGGCGTGGGGTGGGAGAGTTAAAAAGGAAGAGCCATCCATAGTCGGACTCAAACCGCATCGTCATACTACGAGGCACTCGAAAATACACTGTCGCAAGATAAACCCGCTTTTGCGCCACTCTGCGTCAAAACCCTAAACCCTAAACCCCAAACCCTTAACCCTAAATCCTAAACCCCAAACTAAACAAGGGTTCGAAACCCGCGTGCTGAATATTGCGACATGTCGCAAGCGAGGATAGACTGGTTTAAGTTCCTCAAGTTACTCAGATCCCCAATGCCTAACCTCTCAACTTTTGAGATTCTTATAGTTTAGTAGGAATCGGAAAGTTTAACATGCTATTTCTGTGGCTTATTGGGGTAGTAAGGCTAGGAGTGCCTGTTCGCAGGCAGAATTCTCGTAAGAAATTTTGGCAGTGACAAGGAATTTGCACAGAGTGCTCCATCCAGATGCTAAGTCCTGCACGCAAATCCGGCTTAAACCCTGCCGCATTCACCTTGAGCCTAGGTTAATGCAAACCCTGAGCTCGAATTTCAGAAATCCTCGAACCCAGCATGTTACACCCGAACATTTATTTCGGATTATCCACATCACTTCCGTTGAACTGCATCTCGAGGCTTAAACTCCAGCGCCAAGAGCCCCATCCCAAAATCGCGCACACGAAACTTGTGCTACTATACACGCTTGTATAGTTTCTGTTCAATACTCTTCCTCGGCATTCCTTTTGTAATCGGATTTTTAATGGACTCCATATCCTAGGTATCCTAATTGTCAAGTCCTGCATGAGATCCGCACTTCCCTTTCAGATTGACCTGGAGCGTATGATGAAACTCACCGGCGAAGTGCTGCGCCGCTGGGGCACAAGCAGAGCCGATCACGCAACAAGACGACACCCCGAATGTGTATGTTCCTGATAAGACTGATAGATTGCTTTTTGAATCGAGCCATCACCAAATAGTAAGATAAACCAAGACAGCGTAAACCCCTAAACCCGAAATCCCAAGTCCGAAACCCCAAGCAGAGTGTCTTTCCCAGGCTGCACACTAAGCCTTAAATCCGAAAACCTAAACGTAAACCGCAACATCATGCGTAAGCCTTAATCGAACCCTAAGTCCCGAACCCCGAGCAGGCAGCAAGACGCACTACGAACAGTTTAAGCTGCAACACTTCTTTGAAGCATTTCTTGATGATGCGTGGTGTAAGTGACGGGAGTGAATACTGCTCAGGTCCCTGCAACCACAAATTAGCTGCTTAAAGGTGGCTGTTTTCGACTGTTCTTCACAGACTCCCTGCAATGCGGGCTTCGTCCTTGCTAGGTAGGAGGGAAGAAACCCCGAGCAGAGTGTCTGTCCCAGGCTTCGCGTGCAAGATACCCTAAACCGTAACTCCTTAAGCATTACTCAAACCCTAAGCCCTAAATCCGAAACCCAAACAACTAAATCCATAAACCCTGAACCCCAAACCCCTAAACCCATAAACCCTAAACCAATAAACCCTGAACCCTAATCTCGTTGTGCTCCCAACACCGGACTCCACTTTTCAGAGCACCCAGTTTCGTTTTCTCTTCGTTTCCTGCATGTTTGGCGACATGGCTGCTGAAAGTGAGAGGAATTTCGAACTTCCTATGGGTCGAAAAGAACTGAGGGGCACGAACACGGCGAGCTCAAAAAGGTCGAATGCAGCAACTCTGTCCGACATTTTCTCATCAACCACCTCGGATGTCAGAGACAGACCTGGCGCGATGCCTGAGACGATCGTGATCAAAGACTTCAGAGAAATCGCAGCTCTTTGCAAATCGAAGTACAGGGCCGGACTTGCTGCGATAGCCGAATGGAAGCTCCAGTATGAAGACCTGACTTCCACCACAACTGAAGGCGAAAATGACACGACAATCTACAACTACCGGTCCCCGATGGCTTTCGCCAACATTCTTCTACTCGGAGCAGCCGCCCTTGGCCTCTCGATAGGAGATTCCGCAGAAGCATCGTCGACGACTGATGAGCAGGTCATTCGCCACAGACTTGGAAGCAAACCGGACATTCCCTGGGAGGTAAAGGAGGATGAGCCAGGAAAGTTGATCGATTTCTACGACTTCGAAGAGGGAGAGGAAGCTGACAGGATGAGGGCAGATGCTCATGCATTCCTCGAGTCGGGTGGGGACCCCGCATCACCAACAGCTGACAAGAGAATCAAAGGATACTTCGAGGGCCTCCAGAGGAACTTGCAAGAGAGCAAAAAGGCGATGAATGAGTCTCAGCCTGTGAGTGAGACTGAAGAGGTAGCAATGGGCTACATCCAGTTTGCAGCATCTTTCTTTGTGTTAGTCTCGCACATTGGAAAGAAGGTCACAACGGCGACCCTCGCTCACCTTGGGAGAAGATACGTGGCCGCACTGGCTCTTCTCAGCGGGACCCTGTCAATGGCAGGTGAGGTGGCGACCCTTGCGAAGGGGATCCCGTTTCTCTTCGACGACCTCGGAAAGACAAGTGCTACTGTGGGTCTGTACGCTCGAGGAGAGAAATCTGCTGCACTCCGATACATATCGCGGCTCATCCTGAAAGCAGCATCGAAGGTCCTTGAGTTCAAGACCCTCGCCGATGATCACCTGAGCTACCGACAATTCTCAGGGCTGCTCCCGGTTGCAATATCCTGGTCCTACACCGCGAACAAGCTGCCATCCGTGCTATTGCTTCCTGGGATGGATTCTGAGGCAAAAAGTCTCTTCTCCCAAATCGAGTTCGTGATGAAATCTCGTGAGAGACTTCGCTATGCCAAAAACGAACTTGCTGCGATGCCCCATCAACTCAAAGGAAGGCGTGAATTAGCCGTGCTCTTCGAACTTGGTCTGACTATGGCGAAGAAAGACGGGCGGCTGACAGCATACGCCGCCAGCTCCAATTTGAATCCGAGGCAGATGGCAACGTTTGCTGCAGCCAAGGCGCTCCTTTTGCAAGTGACCGCGATCCACCCACCCCTGATGTCTGACGCCGAGAACTTGATCAAGTACTTTGCCGACCAGGGAGTCGAAATCGATAGGGCAGCCTTCATTTCACAAGGCGAGATTCTGATGAGAACCATGATGGAAAGCCTGCAGACGGACGAAGCGGAGGCCCATGAACCCAGAATCAGCGGAGTCTGAAAAGCCAGAGACCGGGCGAACGACGAGATGCGACTGCTCTTCCGTCCTGACCCCGCATCAACTCAGTCGGGAATGTATTTGGGGCTTGGAGCTTCATAACATGTTGTTGCAGTACCTTCCCGACTTAGCGTATGTGGCTGCCTCCAGGATCCTCACACGCCTTCGGAGAATGCGTAGTATGATTCCTCTACGACACAGTGGTTCGGTTCTCTGGTCGCACTGGTGCACACTCATGGAAGTTATCACTAGCAGTCTTGCGGCGCATGAACAAGATAGACCCGAGACAGTCAGCATTGTGGATAACAACCGCATCTTCATATGGTCTGAACGTATTGCGTTGCGTATCTACCACACTCTTGACTGCTATTCCGGTATACATACTCATTGGAACCTACCATACCTGTGGCCGACAGGAGATGCGAGACTTGCATGTGAAAGGGTCTGCTTTGTCACCTCGCCTGAGATTGCTAACTCCCATCCCCCGTCGCCTGAAGTACACTTTTGTTGGATGCATCCTCAGAGACCTGTCTAACTCAAGCCCCCCCACGGGTGGCTCCGCATATCATGCCACTAAGACCCGAGGAACTCCAGCAAAGGTTGAGGCGTGAGTTACAAAGCATGCCACCGGGAGTATCTAGGGTAGCTGCGGACTCGCTGTACTCACGTTTTTGCACAGAAACGAGATACCTACCCTCTAGATGGTTTGTCGGTGATTCATGATGCCATTATGGAATGCGCACCTTATTGGTTGGATAGCTCGGCTGACCCGGTTGCCAATAGTGTTCATGATCACACTAGGGAAGAAGTTCATGATTGGGTAGTTTGGATGGAAAGACAAGTATTCGAAACCTCTGTGTGGAAGTATCACGAACTTTCATGCCCCCTGTCCCCGACCCAGATCTGAATAATCTCCCCACGTCCGACACTACCTGCCCCCTACCAGCCCGTAAGGATGCTAGTACGCAAACAGATTGAAACCGCTACGCACATATTACTTGCTTTCCCTACTCACATATATGGGTGCTTTGCACATACCAGCCTATGGCTCAGATGATTTCAACCCACAACCCCCAACCCAGGAATGGCTTCTGCCCCTGCTCGTCTACCTGACAAAACACTACAAATTGTCACTCTTAAGCAGCAGGTGCTCCAAGCCTTTGATGAGGCCCCCTCCAAATATAAGCAAACAGAAAGCGCTGGTCACACCCTCACCCTAGGACTGAACCCCCGTGACCTTACACGTCTCTGTGTTGCAACGGCACCCCTGCAGTACCTTGCCTGTCAACTTAGTAGCCTCTTCAAACTTGTCCTCCCTAACCATAAATTCTCCACCATTACCGTTAGGGATTCTGCAGGAAAAGGCTTACACAGGGACCTCAGGAATTCACACTACCCACAAGCAGTCATTCCCCTAAGTGAATTCATTGGAGGAGAGATCTGGGTTGAAGCTCCAACAGGTAATGTTCAGAAAAACTACATGGGAGGAGTGCTTCAGGGTTTTTTGCATGATTTCTCCTCTGGAACCCCACTGGTTTTCACGGGCAAGAGGCTCCTACATGCTACGGAGGATTGGATGCATAGGCGTGTTGTAGCTGTTGCCTTTACGGTCATGGGATCTATTAGCATTCCCAAACAACTGGATGAAGACCTCGAAGCCTTAGGGTTTGTCACGCCAGACAGTCTTGAAGTTAACTTCTATACCAGGTTCCTGATTGGACCAGGGCAACTTAAGCAAACCACCCTCGACCAATCCCCCAAATCCTCACATAATGGAGTCTGGGGTGTAGGGAGACTGAAGCAGGGCTATCCCATTACGCTTGTTCTGAGTGATAGTGAGGAGGATACAGCTATAACGGGGTTACCTCCACTAGAACCCTATGGGATCGATGAAAGTGTTGCAAAACGACCCCGCCCCACACAGCAGGATTCCTACACCTCAGACTCACAACCAACCCTTCCCTGGCCTGCTATCGCGGATGCGGCCGCGGGGGCATGATATGACGCAGGAGTGTGTGTAATACATTCTCCAAGGAGTGCTGGCTTACGAGGGTCCTTCAGGTTCCTTTTCTGGCTAGGAATTAGGACTATTGCTGCTGCCTACTCAGTCTTTCATATTAAGGGTCGTATTCTCTCGGGTCGGTCTTTGTCCGCTGGTCTCCTCCCTCCCCCCCCCTAGACTTCCAGCATGTTTTAGCCTTTGTTCCTCCCACCTTGAATGGTTGTTATTGGTTTCTATTATGTACTTTTCTAATAGGGGACTCCACCCTAAGAAACCACTAACCCGCGAACGTGCCGACGCACCAATGGACTGAGTTGCAATGAAGCTGCGACGGCCGCCTCCTCGACGTACCACCTGCAACAATGGAGACCTCGCTGTCTTTGAGCAACTGCATGGAGTGAATTTGTGAACTGCATGGAGGTACTGCATGGATTCGATGCGCAGCATGTCTCTGAATTTATGAACTGCATGGCCTTCGCTGCCACACGCACACCTCCTCGATTGCAAGCGAATTCACATGGCTTCCAGACCTGCATACTGACCGGTGCCACTATATGGATACAACAGGACGTCCTGCTCAACTGTCTGTGGCATGTTTTCTGGAATTGATTGCAAGAGAGACCACAGACTGGGCAAGGATGCATGGGTGACAGTGGACACCGTGAATGTATTTGTGGCCATGGCAAGCTGCATGAACTACCGGTGCAGGGGTACTGTCAGAGCAAGGCAGGAGGCCTGGGCAAACCAAAAAAAAACATGGGACGAGCTCTGACTGTTGTGTAAAGCCTGCCCAGTGGATTGCCGCATGGTTGCATGGACCTGGCTATGTGAGCCTGACTGCACGAGATTGCTGACATTCATGTTTCGCCATTAGCGCTGATGTCGGCTGCTCTGGCGACGATTACCTGCCTTCCCACTGCTGCATACCAGAGCCTGTAAGGGACCTGGACTTTATTGAGTTCAATGCTACGGCATTGGCTTCAATCGAGTCCATGAAGTCGGTAACATGCTGACTTTGAGGAACATGGTAAGCATGTTCCAACACACAGATCGCTATGCCCGAGTCATCCCGGCTCTATGTTAGTGGCAGATGGCAGACGGATTTTACTTGTATTCCTCATCACCGACCCTCACCCTCAGCGATCTGCACTGCGCCTTAACCTCGAAGTCACAAGTCACTAGGTGTTTACAGCAGATGTGACTCCGAGGGAAGACACGTCGAGCAGTACAGTTACTTTATTTGTTGCTAGAGGGCTTTTGCTTCTGTCATGACGTTGTCTTCTAGTGCTGTTTCACATCGCAGACTCCGAACCATATGCCTCGCCTGGATTGTCCGAGTGTGAGCGCCGAAACCCCTAAACCTTGAACCCATAAACCCTGAACCCTAAACCCCTAAACCCTAAACCCATAAACCCTGAACCCTAAACCCCTAAACCCTAAAACCTTTATAAACCCATAAACCCTGAACCCTAAACCCCTAAACCCTGAACCCTAAACCCCTAAACCCATGAACCCCTGAACCCTAAACCCCTAAACCCAGACGGAAAAAGGGCCTTCAAAAAACGAAAACCCCAAAACCTTTATAAACCCCTAAACCCTGAACCCATAAACCCTAAACCCTTTATAAACCCATAAACCCTTTATACTAAACCCCTAAAACCTTTATAAACCCATCTAGGATGCCCAGTAGTACCCTTATTCCCTTTTTGTAGTCCTAGGTTCCTTATAAAGTTACCCAATACCAAAAAGAGAGGCCTTTTTATTCTTAGGTTACTGGGTATCCTAGCCTTTATAAACCCATAGACCCTGAACCCTAGGCTTCGAGTGCAAGATGATCAACGGCGAGCCCGAGGATGAGCTCAGACGCCTCTTTGTCATAGTTGGGCTTAGGGGTTTAGGTTTTAGGGTTTAGGGGTTTAGGGTTTAGGGTTTGTAGGGGTTTAGGGTTTAGGGGTTTAGGGTTTAGGCTTCATTTTATATATTTTTTTTGTGGGTACTTAAACCCGATAAGGAATAAGAACAGAGACTTTTCATCCTATCCCAACCATGAACTAGGCTTGGTGATCGCCTACTACCCGGCGGATGGAGATGTGGCCGTCTTCGAGGTGCTTTGAAGGGGTCTACTAGGGGTGTTATTAGGGATCTATAAGGGTACTATAACATAGGGGCCTGAATAACTAGAGTAGGGTGTTGGGGCATTTTATGCTGCATTTACACTACTTGGAAGGGCAGGGGGCTTAGTAAGTAGGTTATAAGTAGAGTTATAAGTACCCTAAATGGAGATACCCCAATTATAACCCTACTTATAACCCACTTACTAAGTCCCCTGCCCTTCCAAGTAAGAGCCTGAAAGTTGTGGTGATGGGCTGGCTGTCATTGGGAGCTGAGGGTCTTCAAAGGGTTCCTTTCCCCCCCGCCCGTCAAGCTCCAAAGCCGACCCTTTCAAGGCTGGTTTAAGGTTTGGGGTTTTGGGTCACAAGTACTTGGAGGATCATGGGACTTAGTAAGTAAGGTTATAAGTACCGTAGTTGGGCTCATAAGTAGTTATAAGTATAGTTACCCTAATTGTAACCCCAGTTACTAAGTCCCATGGTCCTTCAAGTAGGTACCTCAGCTCATGCTTTAGGTCGTAGCGCTACAGCTCGTGGTGGAAGGTAGCGTCGAGCCCTGAGAAGCACCCTTTTCCTTCACTCATCAGCAGAATTCTGGCATCTGTAGATTGGCCGTCACAGCACAACAGTGGAGTCAACCCTAAACCCTAAACCCCAAGCCCTAAACCCTAAACCCTGAACCCTAAACCCCAAACTCCTAAACCCTAAACCCTAAACCCTAAACTCCTAAACCTTAAACCCTAAACCCTAAACTCCTAAACCCTAAACCGTCTAATCCCATTCAAACTGTTTCAGCTTTCATCGACAGGTCCCCGTCCGCAACAGCGGGCACATGGGTGGAAAGTTCGCGGACAAGAGGCGTATCAAGAACCCGGATACAGGCCAGGCTCACATGCGGGCATTCATAATTACAATAGGGTTTTGGGGTATGTCCCACTATACTTCTATTAATTGGTAGTTCGTTGCCTTAACGCTACAGATTTAAGGGGTCCAAGCTTACCAGCAGCAGACGAGGCTTTCACCGAAAAGTTTTCAAGTTGACAGGACTGGTCGTGCTTAATTTGTTGGGCTCCAAAGCACAATGCACTATTCAGGGTTCAGCCTCCGCGGTGTTTAGGGCGCTGAGAGAACCCCATCTGGATGTTCATGCTTTCTTGAACCAGTTTAGCTTCTGCAGAGACGCGGCGCGAAAGGAGCGGCTTCTTTCGGGTTCGAGAGCTCCAAAGGAGCGCCATACTTTTTGGCAGTGGAATGCTCGAAAGACTCTCCCGGGTTTGTTATTGCGACTGAAGGGGTCTTCCTCAGTCAAAGGCGTATGACGGGGTATTCCTTACAGTCCCGTATTACAAAACCACAAAATGCTATAAGATGCCTCGGCACCCCATTGGAAATATTGTGGAACTAATGTAGGAACGTGATTAAGAAACCTTGGGCCTTTATTAGGGTTCCTGATGTGAATCCTACTATTTTGGGGTTACAGGCCCAGGGTTTCTTAATCAGGTTCCTACATTATTTTTGTATCCTTATAGATCCCTTGTAGTAACCCTTATAGACCCGTTTAAAGGGATCCTAAAAAAGGCCCCAGGGTTTCTTAATCAGGTTCCTACATTAGGCCTTTTTTGCGGGGGCTACCGGAGCTTGTGAGCTGCCATCTCTAATGCCGGGGCCAGAATCACTGGAGCCAGGGTTCCCTTTAGAAGGGGTCTGTGAGGGCTAGCTACTATCATATGAGGGGCTTTCAACAGTGGAATAGGATTTTGGTGTAGGTTGTATTGGAATTAAAATCAGGAGCCGAGGATGTTAACATTAATTTTCCAGGCTTTCCGAAGCTGTAGAGACAACCCTCAACCCTGTAATCCCTATCTAAACCCTAAAGCCTAAACCTAAGCCCTAAACCCTCAACCGGGTAATCCCCATCTAAACCCGACGCCCTGAAGCCCTAAACCCCAAACTTCAAACCCCAAACCTTAAACCCTAAGCCCTAAAATCCTGAACCCTTAGCCCCCAAGCCTCAAACCCCAAACCTTGAACCCTAAGCCCTAAACCCCTAAACCCTAAAAACCACGAGCCCCAAACCCCAACAGCAGGTTTGCCCTTCCAACTCTGCGACTTCTACGTGGGCAAGGTCGTCACCATCGCGGCCCAGCCGCTGTGGGGCTCCTACCACGAAGCTCACTTCGGGTTTAGGAAATAGAGTTCAGGGTGTCTAGGGTCGAGAGTTTAGGGTTTCGAGTTTAGGGTGTAGAGATTAGGGTGTCGGGTCTAGAGTATGTTGTTCAGCGTTTAGGCCGGCTTCCAGAAGCTTGTGTAAAGCTCGGGAAGGTGCCGAGTCGACATAATCATTTTTGGCGTGCTTTGTCGAGGAGATCTCCTTACATACCCTGGCATGTCTTGCGATGGTACGTGAAAATGCGGCAAGAATCACGAACCACATTCCATCCATGGTGGTATCGAGTACGAGACTTGACTGAGTGTATAAGTGATAAGTGTATAATTGGTGGGAACAAGCACTCCGACCTTTAGAATCTATTTGGTTGCAGGGTTCCAGTGTTTCGGGTTTACGGGTTAGGTTTTCGGGTTCGCAGTTGTGGATTTAATAGCTCGGTATTTTAGATTTCATGTGTTTGGGGTTCCAGGGCGGCTGCGCGTTGCATTCTTCTAGACCCCTCACCAGTCCACCTGATATAGAAGCCGGACTATTTGACAATTCAGTTTCCATAGGGTTCCCTGACAAATTCCATACTATAAAAGACAACAAAACCGCATTCTATTTCTTAGTACGGTACATTGCCTACACTTTGCACTTTCTGTGGGGGGCAAGGCAGATCACACGAGCTGACGAGCGGTGCCTGCAATTCTTGGAGGCCTGTCGCAAGCGCAAGTTTGGCTGCGATACGCATTATTCGGGCCTAAATAATCACCAAGACTATTTTTTGGATTCCTTACTATGATTATGGTAGAAGATCCAACCAAAGACTTATTCCAATTCTTAAGGCTCCTAGATGAGGAGCTTTTTGCTCGCATCCCCTCAGCAGTTTAGGGTTTAGGGTTTAGGGTTTGGGAATAAAACAGCATCATGAGGCATAATATACGGGCCTTAATGATTAGAACAGGGTTTTGGGGCCCATTATACTATAATCATAATAAGGAACTCCCCAAAAATAGTGTAGGTAATTATTAAGGCCCCTATGTTACGTACCCGGGCGGGCATATTCCGGGTCCTCCTGGCATGAGCGGGCTCGAAGCATCTGGTGAAGAAGGCCTGTTCACCCAAAAGCCTTCTTGGAGCTTCATGGGGCTTAGTAAGTACAGTTATAGGTGCCCTAATTGGGGTTAGAAGTACATAAAACTGTAGGTCCTGAATTATAGCCCTAGCCACTAAGTCCCGTGAACCTCTAAGTATTCCCAAATCCCTCATCCAATCGTCCACTGTCGGAGCCAGCAGACTGTTAAAGCTTTGCCCCTCAAACCTGACCTGCACGCCGTACTTAGAGGTTCATGGGACTTAGTAGCTAGGGTTATAATCAAGGTAGCTACACTTACATGTACTCATAATCTCAATTAGGGTACCTATAACTGTACTTACTAAGTCCCATGAACCTCCAAGTACGCCAATCCCAGAGTCTCCAATACCCCTCAACGAAGAAAGAAGTCGTTAAATCTTCATCAGAAACCCAAAATTTAAGATACTGGACTTTACTAGACCCCCGTGCCTGCGTCAGCGAGTGTGCGAGTCGAATCCACGAACCCTAGCCTTAAGCCGCAAGCTTTAATTTAGGGGCCGATGGAGTCCCTTCCCAACCCAGTGTTTGATCCGGTCTGCAACGGCCAACAGGCACGGCCGAAGCAGTTCCCCTACGCAGATCCGAAGGTCCGGAGGGCGATCAGCAGTGAGCTCGATTTGAGGATTTCGGGGTGTAGGGTTCTATGAGGGGTATGCTGGAGGGGTGACTATACAGGGTACTGCAAGGGTTTTTGGGTGTCGGGAGCAGGATTCAGGGGGTTTTACGAAGCCGGGGGTCGGTGATGGAGGTGCAGTTGCAACAGGAAACAGGATTAGGAAGACGGCCGCCAGCGGCTACAGAGTCGTTGCCCTAAACCCTGAACCCTAAACTCTAGCATCTTCAAGGGCTTGGATTCTGAAAGGTGTTTTGTTTCAGGACGGACTTCTCTTTCCTTCAGGGAGATCTATACTTTCCTTCAGGGAGATCTATGCTTTCCTTCAGGGAGATCTATGCTTTCCTCAGGAAGATCTATGCTTTCCTTGTTATGAGCACGTAAGCTACCCTCCTGAACAAGCGCCCTCAGACTCGGACGGTATAGGAAGTAGGATTTGGTTTAGGGGTCGCATCATATAAGCCTCGGGATGCTCGGGAATTCCCAGAAGAACTGCTCCACTTTGACAGGCCTGTGCAAAGAAGCTGCTTCCGCTGGATGAGAATCCCGAGCTGCCGCCACACCGCACCTCAAATATCCCTGACCCCAGACCCAAGAGTTACAGTACTAAACTTGCAGAACTGAAAAGACGGAAGGCTCCACGCTTTGGGCTTTCATTCGCCTATGGATAGCTAAAAGAGAGGCTTTGCATCAGTACGTAGAGGCTCACGCGAAGCTGGTTTTGGGCTTGCAGTGGGTGGAGATCGTGCACGTCGCGGGCATTCAGGGTCACTCCACCCCGTGACCCCTCGCCTCAAGCCTAAACCCTAAACCCCAAAACACTAAACCTAACCCTAAACCCGTCTGGGACTAATTAGATCTTAAGCCCCAGGATTAAGACCCTAACGGCCACAAAGCCCAAGCCATCGTTAACTCTGTATGAAGCCCCAGCACTTAGGAGCAGCGACGGCGGAGTTCACCCAGATCGGCTGAAAGAGCTGGCGCAGGAGGCTATGAACCCAGCTAGGGCCGAAATCACCAAATCCAACAAAACCTACATAAAGTCTACTCTCGGCCAATTTCTGAACTCGAAACCCTATGAGCCCATAACACTGGACAACGCAGTCAGCTGCTTGAACCATGAAGTCAGAGTTAAGGCAGCAGACGTTCGCCCCGTATAGACCCATACCAAAGCCACATGACCCCTGTAAAACCCACGCTGAGCCCATGTTAAGGTAAAACATGTAAAACACGATAAATCTCTGAACAAAAGATCTATAAAAATATTATAAGGGATTTAGGGTTTAGGGTTTCGGTATAAGGGATAGGGTATGGGTTTAGGATGTAGAGTCGAGGGCTCGGTGTTTGTGGTTTGAGGGATAAGGTATGGGGCATGCCTAGCATGTAGTACCTTTCGTTGGGAACCTAAGTCTACGTTTAGGTGTAGATAAGAAGCTAAGGCAATCAGACACACACATTTTGGGTCTCGGCAGGGTTCTGGGTTTAGCGCTCAGGCTCGAGGATTCAGGGAACGAGGGAGCAGGGCTTGGATTTTTGGGTTCGGATTAACTTCTTTGCGATGTCCGTCTGCGTCTGAGGATTCTAGAGTTTGGATTTCGGTGCGTGGCCGTGTGGATGAAGACTGGACGAAGGTTTCCGGCTTGGCTTCACAGTTCCAGGCGGTTTCGGATTCGGGCTTTCATGGTTTAGCGTTGAGGCTTCGGCTATCTTACCTTTGGTTAGTGGGGAGTGGAAGAATGGGGTACAATTATAACTACTATTACTACCATTCTTCCATTCCCTACTAACCAAAGGTAAGCTATTCCTCTTCAGGCAGGAATCTCCATCGTCGACCATGAGATTGTCACTCTCCTGCGCCGCTTCGGTCGGGGTGCCTGGTAGTTGCAGGGCAGCTGTGGAGATCAGGGTTAAACCTCCACGACCCTGGTTTAGGGATCATGGGACTTAGTAACTATGGTTATAATGGTAGCTAAAGCCCAATTAAGGTACTTATAACCTTACTTACTAAGTCCCATGATCCTCCAAAGAAAGCTTAAACCTCACAGCACATACCGCCCCAACGTTCAGATTTGGCATACAATTCGGGGGTTAAGGTGGGCCGTATGTACTAAACCCTAAAACCCTAAACCCCAAACCTTAAACGCTAAACCTGGCAAGGGTATTGCAGAGGGCTCCGAACAAGTGCCATCCATTCAGAAGTCTCGTGGGCGAGAGTCGATTCATATTAGATCCTTTATGGGTTCCTTGAAGGGTTCCTTTTTGAGTTCCTTTTTGGGTTCCTTATGGGTTGCTTTGTGGGTTCCCACATAAGAAGTCCTTTTCGAGTTCCTATGAGGGTTGTTATGCAGGTTCCTATCTATCTATCTATCTATATATATATATATATATATATATATACACATACATATACATATGTATATACATATATAAACCCTCAAAGTCTTGTTGATATCCGGGCTCAGGGCGACAAGTGCCCCGCCCTGGGCCCATACGCATCATGATTTCCGGTGAACGTGACACTGCCAGTCATCGTCTTCATCATAAAAGGATCTCCAGAAAGTTGGAATATGGATTAATGGTCCTTATAATTTACCTTAAAGGGGGTTACGATAATGATATTCCAACTTTCTGGCTTCTACTGTAAGTTCCAGGATATTTCACAATCATCATCTTCTTCTTCTGCATCCATCGGCAGCGATGCGGTTCTCCGCCTCCTTCGTACAGAGCACATGGTGGTCTTTGAACCCAAATCAGCAGCAGAAAGAGGCAGAGGTTCCGGGTTTTCTCGATCATTGCTGGGTTTGGAGGCTCGGGGTTCATAAATTTAAGGCTGTATTTGTGGAGTAAGGAGTGCATTGGATAATGCCAGCAATAGCTTCAACAACTGCTGCTGCTACCCCTGAACCCTATACCCCACACTATAGACCCCCGACCCCGATCCCTTAGCTGCAAACGCAATGAACCCCGCAAGCCCTTAACCACAAGAAAGCAAAGACCAACCTCTGCATGCCGAGGCGTTCCCGGAGAGAAGGAATCCGATCAGCCCAAGATCATTGGCCAGGACGCTTTGCTCCTTGGGCAAGGGGCCAATATGAGGTTTCTACATAAGGCATTTGTATAAGTGTTCTACAAGTGTTCGCTATAAGGGCCCGACAAACATGCTTCTGCAAGGCTTCTATAGTGATTTAGGGATCCACAAAGGTTGCACCAGGGGTTCCATAAGGACTCCATAAAAAGGCTTAAAAGCGTTTTTATACGGGTCTAGGCCGGTACCCAAGGTTCTTCGCGAAGAACACAGCGTGAGCGCGGCCCTGGACGTTCGGCAGAAGAGATGACGTCTCTAGGAATATTTACGGTTTGGGGTGTATATTGGGGTCCTTTAGTTAGTAAGAACTGTTGACTGAGAATATGCTCCGTATGCACAGCGCGCAGTATGGCTTTTTATGTTATACAGAAAACCATACAACGGCAGTTATAGTAGACTTAAGTGACCATGCTTTGCCTGCTTGCCGGCCCGTGTCACCCGGAGCCCAGCAGCTCCCGTAGGTGTTCGACAATTAAAATGCTTGCAGCCGCCTCTCCAGCGAGGAACTTCAGTGCCCTCGTTGTCACAGCATCTGCGGATCCGAATGCAACTCTGAGCCCTGAAGTAAAATCCGAACCCTAAGCGCAAAGCTTCAAGCCCTGACAATTCTAAGCCCTAAGGTTCAAGGCTTAGGTTTTTTGCTTTCGGGTTCAAGGCTTAGGTTTAGGGCAAGGTGTCAGTGTAGAACCCTCGTGCGACCCGAGCTGAGACGACGAGGAAGTTGGCAGGACCCCTGGAAACATTCCTAGGGCCTGCTCATGCCAAGCCAAAGTCGTGAATTCAGTGTTTGTGGAACGGCGGCCAGCTGCTCCAGTAGGTAGGACTTTTCGGAACGCAAGCGAATCAGGGTACTTGCGCACTGTGTGCAGTCTGCAAGCAGACCATGGTGTGGGGAATACGCGGTATATTATGGTATACATTCGAGGGCCTAGATCCACATGGAAAGCATTGAGACGTATGTCCTTGAGTTGAGGAAGGCAGCGGATAATAAGCAGCTGAATTCTCATTGTGAACCGCTTCAAATCCTAGGACCTAGAGTAGGCCCTTATTCCCTTTTTGGGGGTTCAGGTTCCCTTATAATTAACTCCCTTTAAACCAAAAAGGGCACCCTTTTTATTCCTAGGCTACTCTTAGGTCTAGAATCTAGAGGCCCTGTCAGACTCAACACCGTCTAGGCTTCTCACCTATGCCCAAACCTACAGCCTTGAACCCTGTGACACGAGTAAGCCCTCCAACTGGGCTTTGGAGTACCATACTTCAATACTTTTTTCTTTGAGGAACCATTATATACCCTAAACCCTAAACCCTAAATAAAAGTTTATACTTTTTTTAGCCCTGGTTACTTAGAAGCCCAGCCAACAACCTCAGATCGGACACTCCGAAACCGGACAACCCTCGTTGTATGACCCAAAGCAATGGGGGTTTCCGAAAATAGGGGTACCTTATTTTGGGGTCCTTATACATAATAAGGATCCTACTATTTAGGGTACCACATTAGGGTCCCCTATTCTCGGAAACTCACCTCCAGAAACTCTGCAAACCGCACCATCTGCCTGCAATCTGCACCCTAGTGCTGCCAATGCGAACCCTTTGAAAAGGCTCGTTGGAGCTTGGGTTCTTTTGGGGGTTGAGGGTTGAGGGTCCAGGGAAGGGTTCGGGGTTCGCGCCAAGTCGCGATGCCGTCGCGGCTTGGACATGCTCCTTGACTCCCGGGTTGAGGTTCTCAGACATGTCGAGATTGCATGTTGAGGGTTTTCAACAATTCCGGTTTAGGGTGAGGCCTAGCGATTAGGATCTGGCGGTGTGGAAGTTTTCGACTCAGGGTTCGCAGGTTTGGGCTCAGAGTGGTCATTCCGGGCGTAGTGGCTTGCAAGTCTGCAGCGACAACGGTGCGGGGAGCTAAGTCTAAACCCTAAATCCGTTTCTCTTCGATCTGATATGCATCTAACAGTCTTAGCAGTGTTTCACCTCAACCGACTACCCACCAATATCCTCGCTTGGCTTGTCCGACTGCGAGCGCCGAAACCCTAAATCCTCTCCTAAATTCTTACGCCAGGATGGAGGGCAAGGAAGTGAAGGAGAAGGAAGGCGACAAGCAGCAGGAGAAAAACAAGGCATGGATTGGGTTAGGCGTTCACGGTTTAGGGTCTAGAGTTTAGCGTGGAGTTTTTGTGGGTTCGGTGGCATTTCTGTTGCGCATGGCTTGGGATAGGCTTCGCAACCAACAACAGCTTTTGGGGGGTTCGGTAGCAGCTCTGCTGCTGCTATTGCTGCTGTGAGAGCTCCTGCTGCTACTGCTGTTGCTGTTGCTACTGCTACTGCAGATGGTAATGGTGTTGTGACAGGGGTGAGAGGCGCAGATGCTGGCCCACAAGGTTATGATCCTGATGGTTGGCGCTGAGAAAAATATTGAGCGTTCTGCTCATTGTGGCAGTGACAGTGTTGATGACGATGGCGACAAAGTGGTAGTTACGGGCGGCGATGATTCTAACAGCGAAGAAGACAAGCCTGCCCGTCATGTTGATGATGCCGCTGGTGCTTCTAGATGACGCTCGAGGTAGACTGCGGTGACAACTCCAGTCTTTTGTCATGATGGCGGGAACAGACTGACGGTTGTGGCGATTCCTTGCTGGTACCAGTCTGTCGTCACCGTTGGTCATTGTTGAGAAGAGCCTTTGTTTCAGTGTTCGTTGATCCAGGGTTGAATTTCTGTCACGTTTCTGGTTGAGGATAGGCAGTGATCAGCAGCTGGTGGAGTTGGAATTGGGGATTCGGTGTCAACTGTCTCACACATCTCAATCGGGCCCGGTCTGGGCTAAGCTTCTTGTTTCTGTTCAGCCCACAGTCAGACACTCAGAGTCTTGCGTGGACATTGACCAGCCAGAGTCACATGTCAAGGCCAAGCCTGGAACCTTCAGTTCATAGGCAGGCTACTGCCCCAAACCTTAACGCCTGAAGCTCCTCAACCCTACATGCCCCTGCAGCCCTACACCCCTAAGCCCTGAAACCCTAAACCCTCGACCCTACGCCCCTGCAGCCCTAAACCTGCGAAATGCCTCAGATCCCCGTCCCCTCCATTCGCAAAAGGACGGTGATGCCGAACCTCCTGGAGAGGCCTTGGACGGATTTCTCTTCTTGCAGAGTTTAGGGTTAGGACGGTTAGGATTTAGGGTTGCTTTTAAAGATTTCTGATAAAAGGGTCTATAAGGATTACTACAAGTATAAAGGCTGCTACAAGGGCTTAGTATAGGCGCCTAAAAAATTACCAATATTATTCCTTGGGGTTCCTTTTCATAATTATAGAATATCGGGCACTAAAACTATATTCGACTTATGAGGCCCCTAAGCTAGTCCTTGTCTGCTTTACACCATTCGGGTTTAGAGTTTACAGTTCAAAGGTTCAGGCTTATTATTGGATCGAGTGTACTTTGGGCAATAGGCCGCCTGACTACTGTGGGTCGGTGGCGCTTAGAGCCCGGAATGTAAGGGCAAGCCTCTTATACAGTACCGCCTGCTTGCAAGCCGATGGCTTTGCGTTTTACTGGCGAGGGGGGTCATGGGTCTTGTTGGGGTTTTGGCTATGAGTGTCTCGCGATTGCGATGATGTGTCTCAGTAACTTACCTGCTGCGTCTGGTCACGGCTTGATCAGGGCATCTATAGTGTATGATAGTGCTACCACTGCTGCGATTGCCATACCGGCGATATCGGGGATGGTTCTGCGCAGTGCCACTCTGAAACAAAGAACCCGAAGCCCCAAAACAAACACTGAACCCTAAGGTTAACGCTAAACCGTAAACCCTAAACCCAAATCCCTAAACACTAAACTACACTGTCCGCCTCAACTTTCGGTCTATCTCGCTGCAAGATCACCAAAGCCCCGATAGCTGCCCCGTTGTTTTGTCTTTGTTCTTGTGGCCGCCAGGGCGTTATAGGAAGTTAAATCAACGCGGCTCATAGATGGGCGCTAGTTCCGTTAATAGTCGGATTCCTATATTATGCCTTAGGTGCGGCCCCTATACAACTATTACTGAGTGGGGGCCGTACCCAAATAATGCCTTCGAATTTCAGGGACGGTTTTGGTTGGATGAATTGGAACCCAAACCTTCACGCTTAATCCCTAAACCCGAAACTGTGGCCGCACGCTAATTCCTCAAGCCCTGCAGTTTGCCTTGTATAGCCACAAGGGTCGAAAGCACCGATATACTGTTGATGATATAAATCCTGCATTACCTTAAGGACCCTAATCTATGCGAATTATGGTATATTCCTTATTATGGGTCATGCAGGATTTGCATCATCAACCGTAGGCGAATGTAGGGGTTCTATATTGGGACTTATGATTATGATTTGGGGCAGTATCCCCCATAACAGTATCTAGCACCCTCTGGGCAGTTCCTTTCATTGCAACCCTAAACCCTAAACCCTAAACCCTAAACCCTTTCCCCAGTCCAGAACTCAGAAGGATGACGACGTCGATGATGAGATCTTCGGTGACGACGACGACCTGGCAGGCTGCAGCAAGCTGGGTTTAGGGTTCAGGGTGTACTTAGGGGTACTTAGAAATACTTAATACTTGTTGGTTATTATGATCCCTAAGAAACAGCTGAAATTCAAATATTTTGCCAGGGTTCTAAGTTGAGTATAGTGTAGTGCTGCAAGGTTTAGGTTTCGTGTGTAGGGTTCAGGAGTCGCGGAGCCACTTTCTGGCACCTCAGTCCATGCTGTAAAGGGTTCGGGGTTGTTTGGGGTTTAGGGTTTAGGGTTTAGGGGTTTGAGGGTTAGGGTTTAGGGTTCGGGGTTGTTTAGGGTTGAGGTTTCTACATAAGGCCTTGATTCTTTCGAAAAGGGTTCTAGACGTTTTCACTATAAGGGTGAGCTGGGTGCTCTATCTAAAAGGGTTCTACGAAGGTTCTATGCGGTTCTCTACTGCAAATTTTTTAGAAGAGTCTATGAGGATTCTGTAATGGTTCTACAGGGCCCTCTAAGTTTTCTATGCGCGTTCTGTAAGAGGGTTAACAAAAAACCCTGGTCTGGGTTTAAGTTTTAGGTTTTCAACCCTGAACCCTTCAACTGGATTTCCTAATACTGCAGAGCTGAGAGTGGCGAGAAAGGGGACTCCCAAAGTCTAGGAGTTTTAAAAGTCTAGAGGCTCCTTTATAGTGTGAACCCCTGCCCTAAACCCTAAGCCCCTAAACCCTATACCTCAACAGCTTAGAA